ATTGATATGTAGGATTCAATTGACAATTAAATAGTAGTGAAAAAAGTGATACAATTTTTCTTTTTTGTATTTAATTTAGAATTGTAGGGAAAGCAACACAAAAAAAACATGTTGTTCTTTGAATAGTTGAAATCAAAATGTTATAACAATGAAATTTTAATTATTATATTTTAAATAATTATACTGGAAATAGCGTTTGTGTAATGTAATATCCCCTGTATAAAATTACAAGAAAAAGAAACAAAATTTAAAATTAATAATTAAAAATATTTTAAATAAATTAATACTAATCAATTTTAAATTTTGTTTCTTTTTCGTGTAACAAAATTTAAAATTAAATCCTACTGTTGTCATCAATCAAGTTTAATGTTCATTGTAGTTTGTCTTGTCTCATTTAATCTTCTTATAAAGAAATTCAATTCATTACTGATTATAATCTGAAGGGATTATTTATTTAGAACATATATAAATACTTATCCTCAGTCTAAGAGTGTATCCATTTGATTGTGATTATTGGCAACATGAAGGTCTTGGCTGTGGCATTACTGGCTCTAATGGCGGTGTCTACCGCTAGACACATTACAGGATTGGAAGAAGTAATCGATCTGGAATCTCTCTCCGCTTATGATTATTTCAACAAAGTCGGAATCCCCTTAGCTGAGGAAATTCTAGAAGCTGAGATAGAAGCTGCTTCCAACCCTTCTAGAATTGTTGGAGGCTCTGCAGCCAGGGTCGGGCAATTCCCTTACCAGGTTAATATTGGTTTCTTTACTTACATTTCGCATTTTGATTATTTTAAAATTTAACAATATTAAACATAAGCATACTTTAAGGCTGGTCTCATCATTGATCTGACGTCGGGGAGAACTGGTGTCTGCGGTGGTTCTTTGCTCAATTCACGAAGGGTCCTGACTGCTGCTCACTGCTGGAATGATGGTCAAAACCAAGCTTGGAGATTTACAGTTGTTCTTGGATCCGTTCAGCTGTACAGCGGTGGCACCAGAGTTGCTAGTTCAAGTGTGACTATGCATGGAAGCTGGAATCCTAGCCTTATCCGCAATGACATAGCTATGATCAATTTGCCTTCAGCTGTTTCTACATCTGGTGTGTAAATTTACAGGTGCACCTGATTGTCTTAGAATTTATTTTCTTATTAAATATGATAAACTTTATACTGTGCAATATTTTCAACAGGTAACATCGGTTTCATTGCTCTGCCTTCTGGTAATGAGATTAACAACCAATTTGTCGGAGCTACTGGAACTGCATCTGGCTTCGGTATCACGAGAGATGGTATAAAAATAAAACATTCTATGAATAAAGTACATAAAGTTAAACATTCTTTGACAGAGTCTTGTAGGCATATATCGAAAAGAACATTAAATAATGATTCATTCTTTGTTTAGGTGGAAGTGTTAGTGGTGCCTTGAATCACGTAAACTTGCCGGTGATTTCTAACGCTGTGTGCCGGGAGACCTTTACGATATACATTCAATCATCAAACATTTGCACTAGCGGTGCCAATGGAAGAAACATTTGCAGAGGTGACTCCGGTGGCCCTCTTGTTGTTAACAGCAACAATAGGCGAATCTTGGTATGTAAAACCTTACTTTTAACATTACATTTGGAGCGGGAGAAACAAGTACTAATTTATGATTTTTTTCTAATTCAACAGGTCGGTGTTAGTTCTTTCGTATCTGGTCGCGGTTGCCAGGCTGGTGCCCCCGGTGCCTTTGCCAGAGTCACTTCATTCATTAGCTGGATCAACCAACGTCTCTAAACAAAAAAATGTAACCTGAACGATACCTTTCGATCAATGTAATAAGTTGAAATAGAAGTATAATAAAATTTAATAACAATTTCTTTGATTGTCGCTGGATTAGTATATCCAAAATAAACATCCCAAAAATTGCCCCATTACCAGTATGGTAAGATATAGTGTTAGCGTAGTGTTCCACGCGCGCTACTCGAAGAAGGGAAGCAGCTTCCCAGGGCCGCTAAAGTGGCGGGACCTGCCGCAAAACATAGCAGTAGGTCGAGGCCTGCCGGGCGTAGTGATTCCGTAAGGGCAACCCGGGCCACGGAGACAGGCAGTGGAGAAACACCGCGGTGGTTTTAGCCGGTAAGAGCACGCGTCCCCCCGTTGTCCCCACGTCGTGGGAAGTCCTTAAGGATTTCCATTGCGATAGAAAAAAAAAGTAATAAGACATGAATATTAATTAGTCGCCAATTTAAGGAATATTTTATTAGAAAACAATAATACTTTGGGATTATTAAGCCCATTTTGTTTTGAAAAATGGCATATAACTTTAGTCGCATTCCACCAAAAAATATTTTAATCAATCATTCATATCATGTATGTGAGATACCTAACTATCTGTAACATTCTTGTTCGAAATTAAAACAAAGATTCACAATGCAACGAGAGATAATAAATAATCTAAAGTAGAGATTTGATGCCTAATTGAAAAGATAAATAATTTAAATTAAATGGGAATTAAGCTATCCCTTATCTAATCATTAATTAATTTTGAACTTAAATACCTACATAAAAAGTACGTTTTAGGTGAATTTACCTGCGAGGCACAACTTTTCTATTCTACTGCTATAAGTTTCTACAGCTTAATATTAGTCTCCATCCAAGCATCTCTCTTTTTCATCATATGGGCGTTAGTCTCCTTGTTATCTATAATATCATTCATTGTATTAGCAAATATAGCAAAAAGCATACGAATTAGCAATATATCAGAAGATACAGTTCTGTGTACCTATACGTATTAAGTTTTATTGTGTACTCACTTCTTGGTCAGCTCTAAAGCCGACGGGCTTAAGTAACAGGCTTCTTGTTCTCATTTTGTTCCGAATTTAGTTACGGATGCGGCTGGGGTGTAACGAAGTTTGTTTCCTTACGCGCACCACCTCCTTTTTAGGTAGCCTGCAGAAGGAGGAAACCACTTTCCAGTTTTTCTTACCTCACACCATGGTTTGAAATACATAAAACCGGGCGCGAGAGGTTACAACCACCGATAGCTTTCCTGAGAACATGGCAGGGCTCAGCCCAAGCAGGTACACTACCACAGCCTGCTCCACCGCATCCTCTGGACGATCCTCGCAGTGTATCTAATGAACTAATAATTTTTGCTTAATCATGATGGTATGCTACCGATTAATCTGCCAAAAATAGGATGCGTCATTGAACAATAAAATGGAAAAGGAGATTGACCAAAAACAGTCTAGCAAAGTTTCAAGTTGAAAAATCAAAATAATATAGAAATAATTTTCTTATTTTTTACAACCTTTTCACTTCAGGAATTGTATATTCGTATCCGGAATTATGATGATAAGATTAATAGTAACATAAAAATTGCTATGGAATTTCCGTTTCAAGGACATTGACGTTCCGTGCTAACTTACGAATAAAACTTCGTGTTTACGAATCACGTAAGTAGAACCTTTCGGCAAAATCATCACAAAAATTATATCAACTTCAATAAATAGCTAAATAATTTGTAATATCAATACATTTTACAATGTATTTATTTAGTATTTTGTAGTATTGTTACAATTATAATTATTTTTGTGTTCCGTCTCACGCAGAAGCAACTGTCATAACATGTGACAGACAGAGTGGCGGCATTTGGATTGTAAGGAAAACTGTTTCTGTTTCACTGTTTGAGTGTTTGTTTTGAACTTTTGAATAAATAAGCGTGAGTTCCATGTAGCATACGACAAGACGTTTTTATGTTTAGTTAAGTTTTATATACGCCAAAACGTTTTATGTGTTGTGTTTAGTTGTAATGTGTTGCGGTCACCGGTGACCGCACGGTGTTTGACAGTTTAAACATAATTTTAGGTTATTTTCGTTTTTGTCTAATTACTTAAAAACCCGGATATTTATGGGAAAATGAACGCTTTTATTCGATAATATAATAAGCATGGTCTATAATAAATAAAGATTTATTGTGCAACAACGTAAGACGAAATTCCATAGTTACGTGAACATTCTCCTTTAATCTGCTGATACGTGGATGTTATTGATATTCTTATTTATTACCTGACAGTAGTTTTAATTAGCGAGGCAAATCGACCTCGAGGATTTGATCGATCTTGAAATGATAACTGCATACGATTATCACAATAAGGTTGGAATACCATTGGCTGAGAAGATTCGCAAATATTTACAGATTTAGATTATAGAGACCGCTGGTAGGAAATGGATTGGCATGGTTTTTGGACCGAATCATATTTTAAATTCAGAGATTTTTATTGACTCACACAAGGCCTTGATTGGGTGAAACAAAAAAAATCTCTAAGTAAACAGATTGTCAATGTATCAATCATATATCAATTAATACATGGTATTTCCTACATTTTCAAGCTAAGATTATCGGCCTATTATCTATTGGCCTTCAAAAATCTTAATACATTTTGATTGCAGGTGTCTTATTGATTTTAGTGATAAAGAAGTAATAACTACAGAAGATGACATGATTATATTATATGTAAGTTTCAAAAACAAAATGTCTTAATATTGTTATTGAGTGTTTAACTGAATGTTAGTATATAAAACAATAAATAATGAGTGGAATTTCGTTAAAAAATCAGGTAAGCTCAGGCACCGGTATCAACGTACCTACCTACTATCAAAGGATTTTGTAGTTTTTTACGAAACTACAAAGTTGTTGTCGACCTGGTGACACGTACACATCATCAGATTCTCCACTTAATTGCATATAATTGTATTTTTTGGATTAACACATTATTATGTTTCTAAAATTGTGTATGGCAATTGGTAAATCAATCATAATTAAAATAAGAATAGAAACTCGATATTATTTTTTTAATTACCGTTTGAACGTTTTATTTATATAATTTTGTTAAAGATTTATGTCTGAGGCGAATTAAAAGAAAGAAAGGAACTGAAACAAATTTTAGTTTAAATAAATATATATTTTTTAAAGCTAGCCATAATTTATCATTCAATTGTATTTTCGATTGATTTAAAGACGTTGGTTAATCCAGCTGATGTAGGAGGTGACTCTAGCGAAGGCAGCAGGGTGTCCACGAGTGCAGCCGTCGATGTGTCCAAAGGAGGTTACACCAATCTGTAGTAAAAAAATATTTTCAATAAGTATACAAAGTTGAAAAATAAAATATGTGTAGTTGTACAATATGATAGGCCATTACAATATAAAATTGCACGGTTTCCCAGGAATTTAAACAAAACATACTGTCACTTCAAAGTTTGTTTTATGCTTAAAACAATAAAAATAATAAAGTTTCAAAATATACATACTAAGATACGTCTGCCACCGCTGTTCACGACAAGAGGACCACCGGAGTCACCGCGGCAAGTGCTTCTGCCGTTGGCACCACTTGTGCAAACGTTAGAAGACTGAATGAGGAGGAAGGTGTTGCGGCACACGGCGTTGGTGATCACGGGTAAGTTGACGTGGAACAAAGATCCGCTGACAGCTCCACCTAAAATATTTAAAAACCATTTTTTAAAGATACTAATTGTAAATCAAATAAAATATGTTATTTAAGTAACAAAGAAAAGTGTCTTACCGTCTCTGTTAATACCGAATCCAGATGCGGTAGCGGTGGCGCCAGCAAATTGGTTGTTAAGCTCGTTACCAGAGGGCAGAGCGATGAAACCGATGCTGCCTGTTAACAAATAGATATTTCATTAGTGCACTACATTCACACATTCAAGTCACCAGAAAATATAACACCTAATGTTTGATATTACTTACTTGAAGTAGAGACGGCAGAGGGAAGAGTGATCATGGCGATGTCATTACGGACAAGGTTGGGATTCCAGCTTCCGTGCATAGCTACGCTAGTGGTACTCAACCTGGTGCCACCACTAAACAAACGGACTGATCCAAGAACAACAGTGAATCTCCTGGCCTGGTTCTGACCGTCGTTCCAGCAATGAGCAGCAGTGAGGACCCTTCGTGAGTTCAGCAGAGAACCACCGCACACACTCTCCCAGGAACCCATGTCAGCAATAAGACCAGCCTGAAATTTAATTTTATTAATAGGTAATGTTTTGATTTGGTTAAACTGTCTCCAAAACTTGAATTATGAATTTTTACCTGGTAAGGGAATTGTCCAGCGCTGGCAGTAGAACCTCCAGCAATTCTGGATGACTCCTGTTCAGCTGCACGGATCTCCTCGGCCAAACCCTTACCAATCTTGCTGTGGTAGTTATATGCGGTGATCATTTCAAGCTCGATCACATCTTCGAGGTCAATGTTCCTCGCGGAAGCGAGCGCCGCCAGAGCCAATAGAGTCACAGCCAGGACCTTCATGTTGCCGGTAGTAAGTAATGAATATTGAGTTCTCCCTGCAGTGGATATTTATATTCTTTGTGACATATAATTATCAGTTTATCGTTATTAAATACAATGTAAAACCCACATGAATGATAATGATGAGAAGATTATCATTGCTAATATTATTAATTCTTTGATTTTCACTATATCAAAACAACATTACGTATCATTTTTCTTTAATACAGTCATAACATCTATACCGCATTAAAACAAAATGTAAGGAAAGTCGCCAGAAAAAAATGCAATAGAAAAAAGATGTAGGAAATGATTGAAACAATTAATAAAATTTAAAATGATTTTTCGGTTCCCTTCAATATGAATAATTTGTCTATAAAACTAATTTGCTATAGTTTTTTTTTTATTTAAACTGTTATAATTATAGGAAAACAAATGATAAATGAAGGGAACGCGAGAGTAAAAAAATAGTTATATCCCATAGCATGCTTACTAAAAAAAGGTGAAAGTATAGCTGGTATATTTGAGCCGGCAATCCAAAAATAGGCTTATCGTCTATTTATAACTATAGCTTAACACTAAACTGGGGAAATACCAGTATTAGAGATTTTCAAAGAAGATAAAATAATTACCTGTTAATTACCTATCAGTTTGATAAAAATAGATATTTCTAATGTTAATACTGTTTTACTGATTACAACCATCTATATCATAACTTCATATGTATAAATCTATGAGGGAACATTTTGTGCGTTCAAAGGTTGTTTAGAAATATTAGATACGTTTTTTAATTGTAGGCATTAAGTATAAAAAGTGTTATAATAGAAAGAAAGAAAAGAAAAAACATTTATTTAGCACCTGGCACGATGCAGCATAAATAAAAAATAAAAAAGACAATCAAGGTGTGACAGTGAAAGTAATAAAAATATAAGAGTTGAAAAATTGAAACAGAAGAATTAGAAAAGAGACGCTGACAACATGCCTATGCTAAAAGGGTCACCCACTCAGTGTAAGCCAGGCATACAGGTTACCCAGCACTGATTTTCAGTGGGGACCCACGCTCGGATGGTAGCAACGTTGTATGGTTAGACAAAGACAAAAAAAATATGTAACAAAATTCGCACACACGCAGCACATTCGGGGAAGTGATTTCGTGGCCGCATGATAACCGTCTTTCTCGTGGCATCTGGCTGGGGCATCGGGCAGAAGCAATGAAATTCTCCAACTTCAAAGTATTTTCAATTTATCAAATTCTAATGTAATCCGTATATCAGCGTGTAAGGTCTCTCATTGAGCCTGAAACAATTCAGAATGCAGAAACTATGTTCAGTTACCATTTTGTTGTGGAAATAATATTTTATTAATATTTAACTAGTTTCTGCCAGCGACTCCATTTTATGTAAAACATTTCCGTTATACATGATTTTTATGTAGCTTAAAGAATTAATGCGACGGAAGCTTAAAAATGGTGTACCTAACTTCTCCCGTTTTCCCAAGATTTGCCTTCACTACTCTGCTCCTATTGATTGTAGCGTGATGAAAAGTATACTATAACCTACCCAGGAGTATGAAGAATAATTGTACGAAGTTTCGTTAAAATCCGTCGGGTAGTTTTTGTTTCCATAAGAAACAAACAGACAGACAGAGAGACAGACAGACAAAAATTTTCCTGATTGCATTTTTTGCATTAGTATCGATCACTAGTCACCCCTTGATAGTTATTTTGGAAATATATTTCACGACCTCTCTACAACTTTATTATAAGTATAGATAATTCTAGTACACGACATTTTTTTTCTTATGGAAAGGATGGTGATATCCATATATTTGCTTGCTTTCAGTACTTTGCTATCATTGAACAAATAGATACCTACTGATAAGTTGATCCTGATATATTGGAAGCATATTTAAAACATTTATCATAATTTTCCAAATCAGTAAACAAATAAATAATTTTAATTCATAAAAACAATCAGATTCCGATTTATATCACTGGCGACGAACTTCATTTTATGAATGGACGACTGATTATGAGATTGGTGTGCTGTCAAGACATGTATGTATGTATATTATATAATGTAATAGTACCAACCATTGTGCTGTAGTTGATAGGTGATAACTAGTTTGGTTAATGCCGATTTTTTACGCTTCAGCGTTACATTTTTTGTGTTAATAGTGATCTGTAAATCCTGTGATTCCATTTCATTCCTATCAGTAAGTCGTCCCATTTTAAAATTCTACCTTATCAATAATCAGACGAAAAAGTTATTCAATTGAGTCTTGAATAATTCTGTAGCGGTACCAACTGTTGCTCTCCCAGATATGCTTTCATTCTCCTTTGCCCAGCATTTTTCTGCTTCCCTTCCACTTTTATCCATTTATCATTTAGCTAAAGTTGCATGTATCTTTAGTGCTTAAGCATGTGATCAAAATAATACAATTAGATGGGTAAGGCATTTTAAACCTCACTACCACGCAAAATTAGTGCTTGGCTGAATGGGCTCCGGCGCGATCTCATGGCGGAATGGCAGCAACGACTGTTTTCCGGGGTTCCGGCTCGAAGTGCAGGACTAGAAACGGGGTGGTTTTTAGTCAGTAAGAGTCTGATACTCCCTCTCGTTTCACCCGAGCCGGATCAGACATTGGATGATTGCCCCCCCCCCCCCCCTCGAAAATTGGAATCCTACACATACCTAATGAAACGCTGAAATCAAACACAGCCGATTTGCGAAAAGCAGCTTGCTCATGTACCAATTAATGATGAAATATAAAAACCCTTGCTTAAGTCATTTAGAAGACCATGAAGAGCGGTAAGCTTGTATGCAACTGTGATGAAGATAGTGCATAGTCAATGTGCTAGATGCAGCACTTATTTTTAAGCTCCGGTGTGGCGGGGCATAGTAGACGCCATTGTGGTGGTTGAATCCAGTAGTGGGGGACACAGCAGTACGCGACAATGGAGGTCACATATTGAATACAGTAACTTCTAGACATTTCTAGGTCTTGTAGACTAAAATAATTATCACATCCTGATATTTATAGATATCCGTTTGCTGTCACAATGGAATTACTTAATTGATTGATAGTCATCAAATTGATATAAAATCCAAAAGAAAATTACCCAAAACGGTTAAAATAGATAATTGTGATAAGGATGGAAATATTTCTTTTGTTTGCGATTTCAATCATAAAATAGTATTAAGTTAATAATAATGTGCTACTCGAATTGGGTTTTACCTGATATGAGCCAGGGTTGATAAGAAAGACAATTTTTAATGCTGCAATTAATTCTATCATCCTGTATTGAACTGATAAAATATGTAACGGATTTTATTGCTATAATACAAATGTAAATAAAACATTACATTGTCAAAAATACTGTGGTTTGACAGATTGTCAATTAGTAATCTATATATATAAAAGAAAGTCGTGTTAGTTACACCACTTATAACTCAAGAACGGCAGATTAGATTTGGCTGAAAATTGGTAGGGAGGTAGCTTAGAGCCAGGAGACCGACATAGGATACTTTTTAACCAATACTTTTTTTTACTTTTTACCGAAAATCACGAACGGGGACGGGAAAAAATGGGATTACGCGTACGAAGTCGCGGGCAGAAGTTAGTTATTATATAAAACTCACGATCGATTTCGATCATGGTGGCAAGTTTAACTACACTAACCAAACTATGCAAATATTCTAGAGATAGATATAGTGCACAAGTGTGCGCAAACACAGGTGCGCTCTCTGTTTCCTCACTCTCTGAAACCGAGGGGACGGTAGACCGACACGATCGGAAATAGGTAAGGCGCAGAACCAACAGACTATAATTAATGAATTAGTCGGTACCTATATTAATACTGAAAATAGCAAAATAGACACAGACATACCTAGTCAGTTTCTAATGATATCGTCAGTACACCTAAAGGCAGGCCTGCTAAGGAAAAATTGATTTACATTTTTACAAAAAACTCTGGTTTTCTGTACCTGTACTTACGTAAAAAGATACGAGGGAATTAAGAGTCGTCATCATCATTATCATCATCATTATCTGTCCAGCTATAAGAGTCCATTCCTGAGCAAAGACTTCCTCTCACACAGAGGTTTGGGCATTAATCATCACGCTAGCTCATGATGGGTTGGCGATCGAGTTCGGATTCAGAGTAGGTATGTGTAGCTTTTTGAAAATTCTGAATGGTCTGATACAGTGGGTCAGTATGAATCATGGTCATAAGACCATGGCAGTGTATGGTAATAAGCTGAACCCCTAATATAGGACTTAAGTACTCGCAGAAATTGATTGACTGCACGGTTGGTGCGGTGGCTGGGCAACTGACTGCTGCGCAACATGTCGCGGGTTCGATTCCCACACGGAACATCTTTATCTAATCCACAGATTATTGTTCCAGGTCTGGGTGACATGTGTACATGTAACCGTGTATGTTTGTAAACGCACCCACGACACAGGAGAAAATCCGAAGGTGTGGCAAAGTTTTTTAAAAAATATGAAAAATAAGAAAGAACGAATTGAAATTAACGCATTTCTGTGCACCGCTATCTAAACTTTTGCGAAGTAATATAATTAGGTGTAATGTGTGATACAAGGCATTAAAAAAGTTCTCATTAATTAAAAAAATTGTGATAACGATAATGCAAACATTATTTGTCAAATCGTACGATGCAAAATATGACAATTGCAGATTAGATACCTTGCTTACGTCAATCATTATGACACCTTTTCAAAAAAACTTTTAATCTACAGCGATAAGTATAAAAATATGATATAAATTATACCTCCCTACGCCTAGTGCCTGTAACCTAAAATATTATTTAAATCTGTAAAAAAGTGAACTCCTTTTCTTGCCTTATCCTAAGCTACTTGAGGTTATGTCAATGTCATGACTTTTTATCTAATTCCCCTCTATCAGACGTAATCCTATAATATTATATGCTTCAATTGATCACTAGTCGCTTTAAAATAGTATGTGTGTGTAATATTACTCAAATGGACCGTTCTATTTTTGAACATTTTGTACATGCTCAATAGAACGCCTTTTCGCTTACCTTATATTATAACAGTACCTTTGATTTGGATCCCCTCTCATCAGATGTAAAATATATACCTACAATAATTATAATTGTCCACCTATCGACCACCTTTCAACTTTTCTCTAACCGTCGGTACCTTCAGCCTTTCCCTTACTTATTAATTTCTCATTTTATCTTTATTGACATGCCACACATCATTCTTTATGTTTCTATACCAGAATTCAAATTCAAGCAAGTCAAGAAAACCACCGAATTTAAATATGAAATTGACGAATGTAGACAAATAAATTAATTTATCAAACGCACAAAAACGAAGAACAGTCGAGTATTAAATGGTATCACTATAATAAGTGAAGATTGAATAGCTTTAGATTATAATCATAATGAAACGATTAGTCAGTCTAATCTTCAACGAATGTGTCTGCATTGGCTTTGCTTTAAGTAACTACAACTTATTGGACAATAAACTATTAAGTTCACGATTTCCTGAACAAGATGAGCATGTTATTTGGGCGTGTTTCTACATGTAGAGGTATTATGAAGTGTGATATTTTTAAGGCTAATAAACAAATCTCAAAAATGTAATGCTAACATTGAAAGAAATGAAATTGAGGTATATTAAGATACAGACAAATTCATTTTGCGATGGAAGGAACAAGTACCTAATGATGCTTTAGAAAACAATAATACTAATACAATAATAATGTAATACTCCAAATTACATAGAGACAGGCCAGTAAAAATAAATGTATTTTTATTTGGTATACAGGTCTTGGGTGCTCGTTCGTCAATCAAAAATATATGGAATGGAATTATTAATATGTTAAAAAAATTGAGCAAAAACATTTTGAACATAATAAAATATACTCGGAAGGCTACCGGTACCACAATCTGGAATGTTAAGATAAGAAGTTATGACATGTTATGAATGTTAAGAAGTTATGAATGTTAAGACAAGAAGAATTTGAGACTAGTTTTCTGAGAGTCCGTCCAATCACTCGGGTCGAACTGCCTATTATTGCCAAGGCATGGCTCTCTCAGTCTAATATATTCTACGTCTTCTTGCCTCTTCCTCTACTTGGGGCAGCCACATTATGTCTTCTTTTGATTTATTGAACAAAGAATGCATTCATTCTCTGAATGAGAATTAGAGTCTGCTCTAACTACATCTTTTTTAAAAGAAAAATTATAAAGTTCTTGACTTTTATTTCATATTTCTACATTTCCATAAGAACAGCTTTAATATCGCAACCTGAATCAAAATGATACATAAATGATTGAATGGACATCAATAATTGGAAAAACTCAGCTTTTATTATCATATTAATACATTATTATCGTAGTATTTGTAAATGATGAGTCTTTATCGGTTTCGTATTATTTTATAATCTTTTCAAAAACAAAATATTCTTCCAATCTTATCATAATTATCTGCCTTAACAGTTTAGGATTATTGAAGGAAGGTATATTTATCACTCACGACATACTCATCAATCAAGTTGTTTGTTACATAAGGCTTGATATTTTGATAGCAGATAATATATAAAGCGACTTAAATTTCATAGCATAAGCTACATTATAGTCTGAATTTGCTGCTAGTTTCTAAATAATTTTATGTTTTTCAATCACAGAAACACTCACGATTACTACGCTTCAGAATTCCGGAAAATCTAGATATAAATAAATTTAATGTAAAACTTACAAGTAGATCTTGATCTGAACTTTCTTTAATTCTAGACAGGTGTGTGTATAAACATATAACACTAATTAAAAAACTATTTTTTGCCAGCGGCTTCGCTCGCGGTCTCGTGGTATAAATAGTAACCTTACACAGGTATATTAAATCTGGAGTAGCCTCCAGACCATAATAATTATGCTCCAAATTTCATCCCGAACCTTTCAATCGTTTTGAAAATTAATCTGAACGACCTAACTAAATAAACAATACATTTTTTTTCGCCCGGGGAAAATGCCGTGCATACCCGGCCTCGCGGAGTCGAGGCCGGGTATGCACGGCACGAATACTAAAGTTCATCAAAATACGTCCAGTAGATTCAGCGTCATTGACGGACAAACATCCAAAAAAAGAAACTATCACAGTTATAATATTAGTGGGATGTCCAGAATTGACCTCTCTCCAAATTTATTTTAAGTATATATGGATATAGACGTAGATAAATGAACAATAGGAGGAGGATACATAGATAAATGAACAACTAGGAGGTCGCTCAAAAAAAAATTATAAAATGATTCCGCTTTCAGACAAGACATAAACAATTACTATTATCGGTCTTATCCCTTGATGGCAGTATTTATAATGCCTACAAGTTTGATATAAATATGACCTACAGAAATTATTGGTACCACTTATAAATTAATACAGCCAACATGAAGTGGTTTGTAGTTACTCTATTTGCACTGGTAGCGGTTTCGTCCGCAAGGCACATAAGCCTCGAAGATGTCATTGAATTTGAAGAAAACAGTGGGTATGGGTACCTCAACAGAGTTGGTTTACCATTAGCTGAAAAAATTCGTGTAGCTGAGGAGGAGGGTCAAGATGCCAGTAGAATTGTCGGAGGCTCATTTGCTGCTGCAGGGCAGTTTCCTTATCAGGTTTGAACTTGAAAAATTGTTTTTTAGCAAAGTTGTTTAGTTTTATTTACAAGTTAACGTGTAAGTTTAGCTTGCCTTTTGGATGTAGCTTCTCCAGCGTGGAACTTTAAAGATTTATCTCGATTCGGTTCCCATCCTCTAACAACTCTATAAACTCTATCTCGTAACTGTAAAGTAACAGTCCGTTACGTCAACATTTGTTCAAATCTCATTGAGCTTACTAAGAACATCACAATAATATTAATAATAATAATGCTTTTTGCAGGCTGGTCTTCTCCTTCATTTACCAAACAGTACGCCTTTCGGTGGTGGTGTTTTGATATCGAACAGAAGAGTCCTAACAGCTGCTCACAATTTTAATGACGCTGTAGTTTCCGTAACAAGCGTAACTGTTGTTCTTGGATCTACCACTATCTTCAGCGGTGGTACCAGAATAACCACAAACAGTTACGTTTTACATGGAAGTTATAACCCTGCTACTGTTAGGAATGACATCGCTATGGTCAACCTTCCCTCTGCTGTAGGGTTTTCAAGTAAGTATTTTTAAAGGAAAAATAATCAAAATATTGTTTTTAAAGTAAATCCTATTATCTATTTAAAGTCTTTCTTTATAATTGGACAAGATTTTACGAGTTCAATATAAACAAATTGACAAAAACTTTTTCAGATACTATTGCTGCCATTGCTTTACCTTCTGGCTCTCAACTCAACGAAAACTTTGTTGGTAGCACTGCAGTTGCCTCTGGCTTTGGAAAAACTGCCGACAGTGAGTAGAGAAATTATGCATTTGTTTCTTAAATAGCTTTTACTGAGCCTTCAATAACATTTTGTTCTTTATAATACAGTTGGAGGTGTGGTCGCCAACCAGCGCTTGAGCTTTGTAAATTTACCAGTGATCTCAGACTCTGACTGCTCAAGAGTTTACGGAAACTACCATTCTACTAACATTTGCACTAGTGGTGCTGGTGGTAGAAACATCTGCACTGGAGACTCAGGTGGCCCCCTGGCAGTCACTAGAAATAACCGACCCGTTTTGGTATGTAGAACATTATCAGTACGTTTTAGTACAATACGATAATCTCTAAACAATAAGATAAGTATATATATATACATATCAATTTATGTTCATAACTCGCAACAGTGTTGAACTTTTACACGTACTATTGTGTCTCTCTGAAGGTTGACTGTTAGAGAATGCCACTGGGCATTAAGTCTGCCATTGTATACAATTGCAAGAAGTGTAAATAAAAAAATAGTAATCTGAAAATTATTAGAAAATATTAAAATGTCTTTGTGTAAAATAATGTGAAATAATGAATTACAGAAACCGAGAAACAACTTCCTTACATAATATGTAGGGAAGTAGATTCCTATAGTTATCGTTATTTACCCAATTATTTCTTCAACAGATTGGTATCACTTCGTTCGGACACTGGCGTGGTTGCCAAGTAGGTGAGCCATCTGCATACGCGAGAGTCACTTCTTTCATGAGCTGGATCCAGAGCCGACTTTAAGTGAAGAGAGTTCGATATTAATAAATGACTGAATTTTACAAACTTTAATTGGTATTTATTTTTAATAAAAAAATAATTATAAATAGTACATACATAGGTACATGATATTTAAACTTGTCAATGTTTGTATGAATAAAAGTGTATTTATATAGTGTAATTATATGTATGACAACTACTAAAAACGATTATTAACTTTAAATTAAGATACATTTGATAAAATGGACAATTAGACGCTTTTGTGAATTATAACAATAAACAATGAAAAAAATATTTATTTCAATTAATCAAAGTAATGCCAGCCACTTCAAGAAACGAAAGTTAATAAAACGTATTTAGTATCTAAAATATGTAGTTAAGTAATTAAACTACCGAAATAAATACATTATATCAATAAAGCACATATTTTACATCATTTTGCTTTTGCATTATAGAGGTAAATGTAAGCGCTAATAAATAAAAAAATTGGCTCTTAATCGGAAATATTCTTAAACATTATTTTTTTTAAATTTTCGAACATAAACATTTTACTTTAGATCAATTTGCTGTAATATTTTTTTAGGCGTGTTCGTAATTAAATTCCTTTTTCAGCATAAAGTTGCATCTTTAGCATTCAACTATAACTTGATACGCTGTATTAATTATCTAATGATTTCTTAATTGAAATTATTGTTAAGTTTTCACTACTGAAAATATTATTGGTTTTAGATTCCAACAACATCACTTCATATAGGTATTAAACAATAATGTACATAATTATTATCTGCAAATTAAGGGTATTATATTTTAGCTCCTCCTTAGTTAGTATAACTGCTTCGCAAAAGGAAGAGACGGCATCCCAGTCCCACTCGTTCCGCATCATGACCTGCACTAGGCCCGGACGCGAGAGGTCGCCATCGCCGATAACTTCCCTGAGGGCACGGCGGTGCTCAGCCCACGCAGGGCATTTCCCCACTGTGTGTTCCACCGTGTCCTCAGGGCGAAATAACAGAGATGGCGCGATATTTATGTATACCTTAAAATTGAGTAACCTTCCAGTATTCAGGCTAACGTCACTTATAATTGTTTGGAGCACCAAAATGTCAATGAGTTTTTTATGTGTGTGTGTGTGTGTGTGTAATGGGTTACGACGTTACTAGACTTGGGAAAATGGTAAATGTCCTTCAGATCTGCAGCAGTGCTTCTTTAAATAGTTTTTTTTTACTTATCTAACTAATTAGGAATATTAGAGAAAGATAGGTAATCATTCGGCATTAATATTATGGTATCTTAGTTTATAATTATTTCATGTATGATCTTAGCAAAGATTTACAGAAGTACAATTTGCTCAAAAAATATAGGTATCAAATGATAGAAAGCACCTATATAAAAAGAAACTACCCACAGAAAAAAAACTACTGCCTTGTTTTATTAAAATATAGTGGTAAAGCGTTCACTGAAACGAAATTCCAAAGATCCCTGATCTAAAGACTTTAGAAATAGACATAATGTTCCTAGAGACAATTGTTTTTAAGAAAATTTAGGCGGAGCTTAAATTAATGACGCCCAGGTGTGATTATTTGATTAGATTACAATAGGTATATAAATCTAAACCAATCTATATTACATTATTATTTTAGTAAGAAAGTGTGGATGTATGGACGGGTTTTACTTACCTAACATCATTATCATCAACTGGAAGACTGATGCTACTAATCCCCACGCTAAACAGACTACTTTGGGATATAATTAAATCGTATAATTAGGATATCAACAATTAAGGCGACAATGCTGCTGACTTATCAGTTGCAGTTTAGGATTTAATCTTAAATTGGCTGCGCGATCTAGATGAATTTTCCCTTTTTTTAACATAGTCGAATCCTCGTGGGTATATGCTCGACGTGCGATAATATTATTTTCATTGTATGTTCTTTATGGACTCTTATCTATGTTGTAAATGTATGTTTTACACACAGATTGTCCAATGTGATCACTCTGATCTATACTGCACTAGTTTAGCTTTAAAAACCCCTTTAATCTTCAGTCCCATGTGAAAAAATAGACAACATCCAGTAACAGTCCACTCCTTTTTATACAGAAGAAGTGTGGTTTCCGTGCTTCTTTTTTATAAGTACTTAGAATTTAATCTAACTGTTTGGTAAATAAATCTTTAAATACTTTAGTCTAATTCCTTATGACAGTTATTTTTAACGGTCAGTATTTTGTTCCTATAATGATACTGAAATAAAAAACTAGCTGTAATATTACAATACATTATGGAGGAGGCTAGAATAAGAAAAACAATTCATATCCCTATCAATATTACCTTGTTTGTTTATCAAATGGCAACAGATATTTTTGAATTTATTGAATTTGATTGAACTGATATCATTTAAGTGTGGGAGAGCCATGCTTTGGCACGGATGGCAGGGCCCGACCGGAGTCATACCACGGCCTCACAGAAAATGGACGTAAAACAACGCTTGCGTTGTCTTTCGTTGTGTGAGGTTACCGGAGGTCCAATTAACCCCCCTTCACAATCTCCCCAATCCCTAAATCCCCAACAATTCTCAAATGATAATCCCCAAAAGGCCGATAACGCACGTGTAACGCCTCTGGTGTTCCGGGTGTCCATGGACGACGCTGATTAAGTAATCCTTAATAACCTAATGATTAAGCAATCATCAACGATCGTGTTTACTGGCTTATTCCAAAAAACATGTGAGATATATTTAAATCCTAATCACAATTGTAATTTGGTAAAGTGAACGGAGAGATTAAAATATTGGGGTACCCAATTTCTTTTGACATCAGCGCATGTATGGGAATTTCCTTGATTTGATCTTAAGATAAAGAGTATTAATGAATCCGAATCATTGTTTGTGTCAGGCTTATCTTCGGATAAGTAGTGATTACCTCAAATAAATTGAATTATAAACTTACCGACAGATAAGGTTCATATGATCAAAAGAAAAGTCTGCACGCAGTGTTGAAATTATGAGAACCTTTTATTCAATTAATTTATTTGAAATTATTGACATAATTAGTCGAGTCACCACCAATTTTTGCAGTTTATTTTCGTAATCTTAAACGTGGGAGTGCATACTTTGGTACGAATAGACCGACTCGTCCCGCCTCACAGAAAACCGTAAAATAACGCTAGCGTTGCGGGTGTCTATAATCACCATTATTCTCGTTTGCCACATTATTCTAATAACATTGGATTTATCCAGTGATAAAATATATCCTTATTTACTAAAAACCTTAAGTCAGTTGTAACTTCGGTCTATTTTTATGAATCGACGGATTTATTTGTATGAGCTCTATAAGAATAGTAAGTACTACATAATTCAACATCAGCCTGTGTTCATCCACTGCTGGACATAGGCCTCTCCAATGGCACGCCACTGAGCTCGGTCTTCAGCTCTTCTCATCCAACCACTGCCAGCTACCTTGCAGATGTCGTCACTCCACCTAGCTGGAGGGCGCCCTACACTGCGTTTGCCTAGACGCGGTCTCCACTCTAGAATACGTTTACCCTAACGGTTATCGGTTCTTCGACAAATTTGACCGGCCCACTGCCACTTCAGCTTACTGATCCTTTGGGCTATGTCGATAACTTTGGTTCTCTGTCGGATCACTTCGTTTCGGATTTGATCCTTCAAAGAGACTCCGAGCATAGCCCTCTCCATAGCTCGCTGTGCGACCTTACACTACTACATAATTTATGATTATGCTTTTTGTGGATGTCCAAACATTATGTAGTCTATAATTTTTATTTTTTAAAATTAATAAAGCATTAAAGCTACTACGCAAATTATCACCCACTAAGTTGCGCTACTTAACATATAGTAACACCTTCACTTGCTACCCAATCATCCAATTTAAAATTACCTATAAGATTACCTATTTTAAAATAGATTTAATCGATAATTTTGATTAATTATTTACCTTTTGCACTGATAATAATAATAACTGCAATCAATCAGCTAATCAGTTTTGTCATCAATATTTATGTAACCTAAATGATGTACATAGATAAAAGTAGGAATATAAAAAATTATTACAAAGCAATTCCGTTTATTATTTTATTCGGTTTATCAATATGAAGTTCTCTGTAGCAGTTCTATTGACTCTAGTTGCGCTTGGGTCTGCTAGGCATATTAGCCTTGAAGATGTCATCGAATTTGAGAGCCATTCAGCGTATGGCTACATTGAAAAGATTGGTAAACCACTCGCTGATAAAGTTCGGATAGAGGAAGACGCTGCTCTGAATGATCCATCTCGAATTATTGGAGGTTCCCATGCGGCACTTGGACAGTTCCCTTACCAGGTAAAAACTTGATATACGATATTTATTTATTTGATTAAAATATGAGTTGATAAGTTTTGATACTAAATTATTCTGTTGTAAAATATGTTGCTTAAAAATACTATTATGATAATCAGGTTGGGCTTCTGACGGAATATCCACGTGGAGTTTCTGTAGCCAGTGCAGTACTTATCTCTGCAAGAAGAGTGCTTACTGCTGCCCACAACATAAATGACGCTGTGCTTTCAGTGACGAGAATCAATGTTGTCTTGGGCTCTATAACATTATTCACTGGAGGTACTCGACTGGTCAGCACAAGCTTTGTTTTGCATGATAACTGGACACCTCCAGTCAGAAACGACATCGCTATCATCAATTTGCCACAAGCCGTTCCCTTTACTTGTAAGTAAATTTAAACAATATTTTTAAAATAAAATCAGGTAGGTTACGTAGGTATATCATTTCAAAATTGTTAACTATAAGGTTTTGCCTTTAATTTATCAATATATACTTTGTGTTCTTTTTCATGTAGTACTTAACGAATACAAGCTGATCTTACCGATTTTTATCCACAGCCATTCTCTCTCCCATCGCTTTGCCTTCTGGTGCTCTCCTCAATGAAAACTTTGTTGGTGAAATAGCCATAGCATCAGGATATGGCTTGACCTCACAATGTAAGTAATATTCCCATTATGCATTATTATTTGCCTTTAGAACATGTATATAACTTTTACATGAAATTATATTTTTCCCCTTAGTTGGAGGAATACCCGCTAACCAACAGTTAAGCTTTGTCCTTCTACCTGTGATCTCCAACAATGAATGTATTCAATCCTTTGGATCAACCATTTTATCGTCCAATATATGCACGAGTGGCGCTGGTAATAGAGGCATTTGCACTGGTGACTCTGGAGGCCCACTTGCTATTGTAAGAAACAACAGACTAGTTTTGGTATGTACTTATAAACTTAACTTATTACTTTTATGGCAAGCGGTGTTGCTGTGAGTACTATTTTCTGCCACATATGGCTGCAACATAGCAATCGGCAACTGTGAACACATTTTGGGTGTGTATTTATTAAGTGTTACAGCGCAATTAGGTATGTACTAGTTATCGCCGCTTACCATCATGAGAGATAATCGCCAAACATCAACCAATTCAACAGTTGAACTTCCTTTACAAAAATGATGTGCTCCAAACTTGTTAATAACTAAAAAAGATATTTATTTTAATATTTATAAACTGTTATTTCTTTTCAGATTGGTATTACATCATTTAGCTCGACCCGTGGTTGCGAAGCTGGTCAACCGTCTGGTTTTGCCAGAGTCACATCTTTCATGAGCTGGATCAACAGACACCTCTGAAACTTTATTATGAACAAAATGTAATTGTTAGTTGCTAAGTGAACATATTATTATGTACATACATATTATTTTTTATGTTTTTCTGAAGAAAATATTAAAAAAAAAAATGTTTTCTGGTCATTTTATTATAATTTTGCTTAATATGTGAACTCACAATATATCAATGGGAGCATTATTTTTTTACTTATATAACATTCATAAATAACATATTAGCTGTTGTCCGCGATTTCGTCCGCGTAGAATAATGACTTATGGCAGAATTCGTCAAAATCAATTCAGTACCCAAGTAAGATTTATTGTGAAATGATTTATCGTGGTTTCAGAAAATTAATAATCCTGCAGGGCCAGAGATCTTACCAGTACAGTTCCCGTATAGTTTGAGTGTTAAAAAATATTCTATCTACTATTGTTATACCGAACCTCTCTAAAATAAGTTCAGTGGTTAAGAGATAGAGAACCCTGGAGTATTAACGCATAGTTCCTGTTTCCGTGGAACTTCTGTGATAGAAACTATCATATATCATTACCCAGGTCACAAATTATCGTTTTACCGAATGTAACTCAAAAAGATACAATGATTCTAGATTCAATGGCTAAAAAGATTTATACAAACTCTCATCACCTATTTTATCCCCTTATGAGTGGAATTTATCAAATTCCTTACTTAGGAGATACCTATGAGATAGTTACTTTATGCATGCAAAGTCTCAACCCGATCGGTGTAAAACTGACAAAATGTCATACCCTACTTTACCCCATTGGAGGTGGAATTGATCAAAATTCTTTCTTAGAAGACGTCTATATCATAACACTTCATCTACGTCTACCTGCACGCCGAATTTCTACCCGATCGGTGTAAAACTAACAAAGTTTTATACAAACTTTCAACCCCTATTTTACCTCCTTGGTGGTAGAAATTATCAAAATCCTTTCTTAGCGGATGCATACGTCATAACATCTAGGTAGTCAGTCAGTCAGCTTTGAATTATATACATATATAGATAGAAGTATAGAAGAATTATATATATATTATATTCTTCTTTCCAGATCCGCATCAATATTACTTATCTTATAATTATCACTTATTATGTCAGTCTGGGTAAACCAATGTCCTATTTTTGGTTATCAAACTAAATAAATTATCTCTCACATTAATAGGGCTTATCTGCTTATTACAAAATTCGGTTTTATATAAATTATGTCCTCGAAAGTTAAGTATTGAGTTTGTTGTGAACAACAACATGAAGTTCTTTACAGTGACTGTGTTGACTCTAGCAGTGGCCGCCTCCGCGAGGCACATCACGCTTGAAGATGTCATCGAATTAGAAAAGAACACTCCGTACGGTTACATCACCGCCGTTGCCCTGCCACTAGCTAACAAAGTTCTAATAGCTGAGGAGAAAGGTAAACAGAATCCATCTAGAATCGTTGGTGGCTCATTAGCTGGCCTTGGACAATTTCCTTATCAGGTACGTAAGTACTCAAAACAACTCACAGAAAACCGACGTGAAGCAACGCTTGCGTTGTGTTTCGTCGTGTGAGTGAGGTTACCGGAGGCCGAATTACCAAATCCCCTTTCCCAATCTCCCCAACCCCTGAATCCCAACGATCCTAATCCTCAAAAGGCCGGTAACACACTTGTAGCGCCTCTGGTGTTCCAGGTGACCATGGGCGACACCGATTGCTTACCATCAGGTGATGCGTCTGCTCGTTTACCGGCTTATGCCATAAAAAAAACGGAAAATATGCTGAACTTTTTAATTACTTAACAAGAGTTGTAAAGTACTATTGATAGGCACTTTGCCTTAAATAAGATTCATAGAACAGAAGAGTGACAAAAAAAATGAAAATCGCTGTTCTAAGTAATCCATTTCAAACATTTTTTTTGCAGGCTGGACTTATTGTACACTTACCTAGTGGCAATGGTATCGCCAGTGCAGTTCTAATCTCAAACAATAGAGTACTAACTGCTGCACACAATTTACATGATGGCGTTTCAAATGTCCCAAGTGTGACTGTGGTCCTAGGAACTACCACTCTATTTGGAGATGGAGTAACATTTACAACTAACAACTTCATTTTGCATGAAAATTATAATCTTTTTCAACTAAGAAATGATATTGCTATCATCAATTCGCCGTTTATAATCCAAAGTTCAAGTAAGTAACTATCACCCTAATATCTAGAAATGTGAAGGTTTCTTTGTTTGTCCTTAAATCACGCTGAAATTACTAAACGGGTTTTGATAAAATTTGGTATACAGGCAGGGTATGGGCTGACTTAGGTGATAAGATATGCCAATTAAATGCTTCCATGGTATAAAACAGGAAGCATATTCGACGCGGACGAAGTCGCGGGCAACAGCTAGGTAGTTCAGTATATTTGAAATAATTCATATGTTATTCTTGAGTGCGAAGTGCATTCATGCTAGAAATCTTTTAATTTAATATGATAATTTAGTAAAATAACTCATTTATGGTATATATTTCCAGGTATTCTGGCCCCCATCGCCCTTCCTTCTGGCTCTCAGCTTCAAGAGGACTTCGTTGGTGATAATGCTGTCGTATCAGGATTTGGAATGAATCCTTCAAGTAACAAATTATTTCATTGTTATCTTCCATACTTTACAGTTTCTCCGAACTAATCACTATTGCTATTTTTAGTTGGAGGTGTTATTGCGAATCAACCGTTTAGCTACGTGAGCTTGCCAGTTATCTCAAACGATGTCTGCGCCCAAGTTTTAGGATCCTTTATTCAACCTTCCATCGTGTGCACGGGAAGTGTCATCGATAAAAATGTTTGTTCTGGTGACTCAGGTGGTCCTCTCGCAGTTCAGCGAAATGGCAAACCTCTTTTGGTAGGTACAAACTTTCAACGGTTTACTATACTTAATATTTACGCATAGAGAGTGTTACAAAACATTACTTCAACAAAATTAGTTCGCTTAACTTAATACTTATTTTATTATTATATGGGTAATATGAAAAGTTTCTTTACACTAGAATTTACGATTAAACGTATAACTACAATTAAGTATAAAATATTCTTGACTTACCTTAACACTGAAAGGCTACTCAAATTTTAATTGTACTTAAATATCGAGCATATATATAATTAAAAAAAACGATTTGAATGAACTATACATAACCGCGACTTCAAATTGAGACTGCCTCATTGGCCGAGTGGTCTCGGGTTCGATTCCCGGGTTGGGCAAAGCAATAGTGGATTTTTTAAAAATTCTCTGTAGTAACACGGAGTCTGGGATTGTGCCCGGTATATGGCAATAGGCTCACCCTCTATTACATGGGACTTATAACATAAATAGTGAAAACGTGGGTGTTACATTGTACAGTGGCATAATGTACACCTCTGCCTGGGGGAAAATTGAGTGACATTTCAGTTTTTCAGCGTTACTGCCGTGCTCAGAGAAATGGGATACATTTAATAATTACTATTTTTGTAACTATTTAACTAATTGCTTTGGATTGGCTTAAGTAAGCATTAAATGACTCCGAGTACGGTGGTTAGTGTTATTAAACTTGAAGGAGGTATTCAACTATTGACTATTTTTTTTTATAAATGACCATATTGATACAATGAATCTGAGATTGGTTAACATAGAATTGTCGTTTTTTACAGATTGGTATTGTATCATTCGGGGCACCTGGAGGCTGCGCCGGCGGGAATCCATCTGCTTACTCGAGAGTCACTGAGTACATAAATTGGATAAATACACGACTGTAAATAATTATTGCACCGATTATACCAATATTAATAAACAGTATAAACAAAACCGTATCTTATTTTATTTTCGCACTGAAGGAGGGAAATATTTTGACAATTTTTTTATTCTTGACGCTTAATGCATCATTAGCATTTAAGATACATATTAAATGGAAAAGTAGAGTTTAAAAGTACATAACACGACGCCTTTTATCACGCTACTGTACAATGTAACACCCACATTTCACTATTTATGTTAAGAGTTCCATTTAATAGGAGGTAAGCGTATTGCCGTACACCGGGCACATTTCCAAACTCCGTGCTACTACTGAAAATATGAAAAACCCATTAATACTTTGCCCGAGCCGGGAATCGAACTCGAGAAAGCCGTCTCGAGTTCGGTTCCCGGCTCGGGCAAACGCACTTGCGATCACTCGGCCAACGAAGCAACGCAAGTGCGACTTGGTACAACCTGCACCTGTACAAAGCTGCAATATGGAAATCGAAAAGAGCACATTAAAATTTACAAAACTGCCGATTTTCAAAACTCCCGAAAATGTTTCCAGGTGACCCCCATGTTTCCTCCTTAATGATCTATTGAGATTATTAGTGAGATGTGGAGGGTAGACAGCAGACAGCTACTCTGCATTAAGACAGAAATTCAGCTAAATCTGGTTAACATTATATTCCAACCCTATCACAAACATACAAAAATAGTAATCCCCAAAAGGCCGGTAACGCACTTGTAACGCCTATGGTGTTCCAACTGTCCATGGGCGACGCCGATTGCTTACCATCAGGTGATCCGTCGACTCGTTTACCGGTAGAGCCATAAAAAAAATAGTAACGGAATTTTGAATTCTTGGTGCAATATTAAACTCACGAACTTATTGTAGCATACCTGGCGATATGACGAAACTATACTTTTCACTCGTTACAATAGTTTTTCCAAGAAATCTAAACAAGAAAAGCGATGTCTGTGACACCATTAAGAAGTGAACATATAACTAAAATACCTCAGAATTTAAACACTTATATATTAAGATATTCTAGATAAGAACCAGTAATGAGGCAAAATGATTAGCGATTGATAATAAAATTAATACGTTAAACTTTCAGTACTTTTGCACCTATCGAATGGACTGACCTTAAAATGGCAAATGACTGTCCTGAGCTGTTCTTTTACAATACTCTTAGTCGAGTGCAAAAAGATAAAATTATAATTATGGAAATTCTACAGCCTATTTATTTTATTTACTATCAGTGATTAAACGATATTCACGGAAAAACCAGCACGGTTCGTGCGGGTGGCTGGGCAAACGGCTGCCGTGTAACGTGTAGCGGGTTCGATTTCCGCACGGAACAACTCGCTTTGTGTGATCCACAAATTGTTGTTTCGGGTTTGAGTGTCAAGTGTATGTGAAATTATATGTTTATAAATGTACCCACTACACGGGAGAAAATCCTAGTATGGGGCTATGTTTAAAAAACGCCTGAATGTATTTATCAGAGGCATTGTCAGTTAAATTTTGAAGCATAGGTATAATCATCTATTAATTATCTATAAAATTGATAATTATCTGGCGGTTAAATACCATATATATAGATATATCTACTGACCTGGAAGTATTGTGTTGAGTAATATGCAGGTCCCAGTACTGATTAGTTTTGCTCTAGCAGTAGCCGCTTCCGCAAAGGCACATGACACTGGAATGTGTCATCGAATTACAAGAAAACACTCCGTACGATTGCATCAAAAGGATCGTTATACTAACTTAAAGTGTTAAGGCCAACATTATAAGCACCATGATCTAATCAACCGACTCATAAGTAGGTACTTTTTAGAAGAAATATAGCCAAGCTCGTACAGTAAATTTTAAGATTTTGTATTTATTAGCTTCATTTTACCCCGAGGGAATCACAATAGAAGGAGATGGGACTACATGACCAGAAATATAATTTTTTAGATACATAAAACGTCATGTATTCTAATTATTGTGGAAAAATATAGCTCTTTTTGATAATACTTTTATTAATATTATACGGCGTCATAAAAATAACAATTTTTTCTATCTCAAACATATTAGTGTTCTTTCTTTTGGGCCTTTCTTTTGTGAAGGTCTGATTCCGGCGGGCTACTCCTGTGTCAGCCATTACATCGATTGAATGAACGGACGCCTTTAAAAAATAAATTATTAAATTAAGGGTCAATTTTTAAATCAACAGGATAAATCTTAACTGTAGAAGGAAATTGACATTTGTAAGTTTTTAGTATGGAAGAATTGTCAAATATTCAAAATTATTCCTCCAATTAAATTCTGGCGTTGGAAAATCATCGCAAGTAGTTTATTATATTACTTATCGATCTTAGGTGCCCGTTTTTAGATTTCATTATGTTGAAATTGCAAGTATCACAAAGCTGCAAAAAATATTCAAAGCCAATGCAAATTCCATGTAATTCAAATTACACAAGTTCAAAAAGAAAAGGCTTTGGTAATTACATTGCAAATTCTAATTTCAGACTGGTTTATCCGAGACAGCAGACTAATTTAGTGATATAAACAGAAAACACGTCAATGTTTTGGATCAACAATCAATTATCCCAAAACAAACCTAATAACTTAATACTTCACTTTATCTTAGGTACGAGTATATTTATCGTGGGGAAAACAAATCGTTATTTTCAGTTACAATTCAGTATTGATACTTATCTACATATAAACGGTATATAAACGGATCCGTCTATTGATACGTATTGAGTTTGTTGTAAACAACAACATGAAGTTCTTGGCAGTGACTCTGTTGACTCTAGCAGTGGCCGCCTCCGCGAGGCACATCACACTCGAAGATGTCATAGAATTAGAAAAGAACAGTCCGTACGACTACATCAAGAGTATTGCTATACCGTTAGCTGATGAAGTCCGTATAGCTGAGGTGGAAGGCAGACAGAATCCATCTAGAATCATCGGTGGTTCATTTGCTGCTCTTGGACAATTGCCGTACCAGGTACTACAAAATAATTTGTTGCAGTTTGATGTTTTCTGAAAATTCAGTAAATTATGGCAAAACTAATAATAGTATTGTAACTCTAACCAAATTAGAGAATCATAAAAACTTTGCTTCGCAGGCTGGACTAGTAATTCATCTACCAATAGGCAACGGTGTTGCCAGCGCAGCTCTTATCTCCAATAACAGAGTACTAACTGCTGCTCACAATTTAAACGATGGTGTATCAAATGTTCCGAGTGTAACCGTTGTCCTTGGAACTACCACTTTGCTGGGTGATGGCGTAAGATTTACCACTAGCGATTTTGTTTTGCATGAAAATTTCAACCTTTTCCAGTTTATAAGTGACATTGCTATCATTAATTTGCCATCTTCAGTCGAATTTTCAAGTAAGTATATATTTTATTTAGTTTATTGTACCTCCTGATTTAGAAGGACAATTTTCAGTTTTGATTGTGTCAAATCCGAATCAATATTAATTCATACTAATTTCCAGGCGTCCTCGCTCCTATCGCCCTACCTTCTGGCTCTCAACTTGAAGAGGACTTCGCTGGTGACGTTGGCATTGCCTCTGGTTTCGGGATTAACCCTATACGTAAGGGAAAAAATATTATAACTTTTGTTCGTATTTTCTTCGAAGGTCCGTATACTAAGGTCCAAACTAAATATTTTTTTATTTTTATAACACAGTGGGTGGTGTTGGTGTTATCTCAAACCAACCTGTAAGCTACGTAGACTTGCCTGTGATCTCGAACAATGAATGTGTACAATTTTATGGATCTATTGTTCGGCCTGGCGTAGTCTGCACAGGCAGTGTTGTTGGCAAAAATATCTGCACTGGTGACTCTGGTGGTCCTCTTGCTGTGCAAAGGAATGATAAACCACTCTTGGTATGTATAATTTAAAAATTAAACGCTTGTACTTGTGCTCAATTGATAAACATTCTAAATAGTGTAATTATCCTATCTAGTTTTAATGAAATATTCTATTTGTCTTTCAGATTGGTATTGTTTCTTTTGGAGCACCGGGATGTTCCGGCGGTTCTCCTTCTGGATACGCTAGAGTCAGCAACTACGTCGACTGGATAAACGCACGCTTGTAAAATAAATAAATATATTTTTGAAACCTATTTATAATTTTATTACATAATCCTAATTTTATTATCCTTCAATAACGAAAATACAATACAATGTAATAATGTTATTGTACACGCCAATGATACCCATGTTTATTTGATATTGAAATTATCAAAGTTAATAAATGTAAATAATGGTAAATACTATTCTTAAGATCTAGGAATAAATATGATATAAAAAATATTGTTGCAAAAAGCGTAAAATATTGGGCCCACACCATCTCGCACGAGAGCAATACCTAGCAGAGGTTCGTGTGTTTTACATTCAACGAGATCGAAACGTTACCGCGATTAGCCCTCTTATTTGTTGATTTGTTGCAACAGGCCAATCAGAGCGCCAAATGTGATTATGTAAAAAAACGTAAAACAAACTCGTGCTAGACCCTCAGGAAAGGTTGGTGCAGAATAGAGCCAGCGCCACTAATCCGACAAAATGGACACTTGACACTTGAAAATATTGATAATGGCAGCGCTAATACTATTGTTAAAATAAAAAAACCAACTTACAAAAAACCCAAAATCTAAAAACAAACAAAAAGTAAAAACTTAAAAGCATAAAATAACTATTATTAGCACTGATACGTTACCCACCCACTGATAGGTTTAGAAGTCGTCGTCATAAGTTCTAAACAAAATTATTTATTAAAACCTCAATAGCTAATATTAAGCAGTTGACAATATTGTGACCATTAAGTTATAATCATTTTGTTTGAGCTTATGGTACCGATTTCTAAGCTATACGTGGGTGGGTAACCTATCAGTACTAATAATAGTTATTTCTTGCTTTTTAATTTTTACTTTTTGTTTGTTTTTAGTTTTTGTGGTTTTAAAGTCGGTTTTTTAAACTCAGTTTTTTTTTGTTTTATCATCGGTAAAAATGTAAAGTTAAATTCCATGTAAATTGTAAAGCTGTCAGTACGAGCGTCTAATGAATAACTGCGCCACTAAAATGGCGCTATAACAAAATACGTTATAAGTCTTACCATCTAATAAACTAGTAGATTGATAAAAAGTCTTCCCCTACTTCTAACCTGTTATATTAAGGATCTTATGGTAGGTACCTGGGTACATTTTGGAAATAACAGACGAATGATGGAAATGATATGCATATAAAGGTCATTACCTCTTCATACACAAAGAACATAACAATACATCAGGCCTTTTATCCCCGAAGGGGTAGGCAGTGGTGTACATTATGCTACTGTACAATGTAACACCCACTTTTCACTATTTATGTAATAGGGGGTGAGCCTATTGCCTTATACCGGGCACAATTCCAGACTCCGTGGTACTACAGAGATTTTTTTTTTAAATCGAACCCAAGACCCCTTTCCCGGTAGTCGCACTTGCGACCAGTCGATACACAAAGAAATTATTAAATAACCATGCTTGGTCAAGGTGAAGTGGCTGCTGGGATTTCTAGGCTACCACGACATCTATTTTGTGATGAATTTTTACTTTACGTAGTTTAAATAACAAGCCTTTTCCTTGATGGGTACATGTAGTAATCTGGTGGATCAACTGTGGTGACGTAATAAAATACTTGGAAAATTTTCGTTACTTACGTAAAACCACAGAAAAGAGAAATAAAACAGATAAAGTACTAGTCACTGAATATTATCATTTACTTAATCGATAATCACGGGGAATTCTAAATGTAATGATCGGGTTCACTCGTGTATTGTTATCAAGACAAACAAAAAATTGTCATTTGATATTCGGAAATTCATATAAATAGCCTCGACCATCGGTCATCAAGTATTGAATTCATTGTGAAGAACAACATGCTGTTCTGGGTAGTAACTCTGTTGGCTCTAGCAGTGGCCGCCTGTGCGAGGCACATCACGCTTGAAGATGTCATCGAATTAGAAAAGAACACTCCGTATGATTACATCAAGGGCTTACCATTGGTTGATGAAGTCCTTATAACTGAAAAGGATGGCAAAAGTTCATCCAGAATCGTCGGTGGTTCATTTGCTGCACTTGGACAGTTCCCATATCAAGTAATTATATCGAACTTACTTTTTAAATATTAAAATATTAAATAACCGCTTATAAAAAACATTTAATTTGCAGGCTGGACTTCTAGTACATATGCCCTTTGGTACTGGCATCGCGAGTGCAATTCTAATCTCAAATAACAGAATACTGACTGCTGCCCATAACATACACGATGGTGTATCAAATGTTCCAAGCGTGACTGTAGTCCTTGGAGCCATTAGTATAATGGATGATGGTGTAAGACAAACTACCAATGACTTTGTATTACACGAAAATTATGATATTTCCATATTCAGAAGTGACATTGCTATAATCAAGTTGCCATCACCAGTTCAATTTTCAAGTGAGTATTTTATTGGAATGTCTTTTTTTATGGCATAAGCCGGTTAACGAGCAGACGGATCACCTGATGGTAAGCAATCGGCGTCGCCCATGGACACCACCAACACCAGAGACGTTACAAGTGCTTTACCGGCTTTTTGGGGATTAGGAGTTTTAGGATCGTTGGGAATTCAGGGATAGGGGAGATTGGGGAAGGGGAGGGTAATTGGGCCTCCGGTAACCTCACTCACACGACGAAACACAATGCAAGCGTTGCTTCACGTTGATTTTCTGTGAGGCTGTGGTATCACTCCGGCCGAGCCGGCCCATTCGTGCCGAAGCATGGCTCTCCTACACTTAATGCAAAAAGTTTTTTGCATTGTTAGTGAATTTGAAAATATAGATAACACCAATATATTCCAAATACATTGTATTATTTTTATCGCCAGGTAACCTCGCTCCTATTGCTCTTCCTTCTGGCTCACACCTTGAAGAGGACTTTGCTGGTGAAGTTGCCATTGCCTCTGGTTTTGGAAACAACCCTTCAAGTAAGATACTTTTATGCTTAGAGTATTTAAAGCGAACTTAAGTAATTTAACCTTTTATGTTAAGTGTTTAATGAATCTTCGAAAGTATTTACAGCGCTAAAAATGTACATACATTAATACCTATGTACTTGTAACGCAGTTGGTGGTACTCATGTAAATCAGCCACTAAGCTTCGTGGACTTGCCTGTGATGTCAAATGATGACTGCGCACAAATTTACGGATCGATTATTCAACCTGGCGTTGTCTGCACAGTCGGCATTACAGACAAAAATATCTGCAGCGGCGACTCTGGTGGTCCTCTTGCTGTTGAGAGGAATGAAACCCCCCTCTTGGTATGTATAATACAAACATAAAAGTTGTAAGATTGTTGCACCCTCGACTGTGTGTAATATCTTTGTATTGAATAATATGGCCTATTTAGTTTACTTACGTCATAAATGTGCCCAATCTTAAAACTCGATTAGAAAAGTCGAGATTTTAACTTTTTAGTATATTACAAAATCAAGTTCGAGCTACGAAGACGTAGAAAGCCATGTTTCGACAAAGAAAACCAGCGTTAAAAATAACGTCTGTGTTGTGGTTCGCCGTGTAAGCTAAGTTATCGGCTACCGGTGCCATCTCCAAATTCCTAATCCCCAAAAGGTCAATAACGAACTTATAATTCCTCTGGTGTTACAAATGTCCATGATCGTTATCGTTTACACCACCATCACGTCTACTATTAGATAAGAAAAAGTAATTATTTAATTCTAAAAGAATACTTTTTCCAACAGATTGGTGTTGTTTCATTTGGGCCCAGATTTTGTGGACTTCAAGGTCCAGCGGGATACTCCAGGGTCACCCACTACATTGACTGGATAAACGAACGTCTTTAAAATACTCGTTACAAAAATAAAATTTCATGTTCAGTTATTTATTTAAGTGGTTTTATTTAATAACTTACTAACCTGTGTTTACTGCGTGAGGTAACAAACCTTGGTGAATTTTTTCTAAATGATTATATTTTATCAAATAAAAACTTACACCGCCGTCATAAATGTAACAATAGACTGCCTCGTTGGCCGAGTAGTCGCAAGTGTGACAGCCGGGCAAGGGGTCTCAGGTTCGATTCCCGGGTCGGGCAAAGTGTTACTGGGTTTTAAAAAAAATCTCAGTAGTAGCACGGGGTCTGGAATTGTGCCCGGTATATAGCAATAGGCTCACCCCCTATTACATAGGACTCATAACATAAATAGTGAAACTGCGTATCCTTTGGGGATAAAAGGCGTGATGTTATGATGTTATGATGATAATGTAACAATCGCTTTTCGCTTGTCTAAGTAAGAAAGGTGGTAGGTTACTTACCTACTTACTTACCTTCCACCGATTTCTTAGCATATTCAATTCATCAAAAAGAAACAATGTAGAAACCATTACTTTTAGTTCTCTAGATTAGTTTAATCAAATCAACCGAACAGGTGTAAAAACCGGTGGGTTTATTTTATCATTTCCAATATTTAATGTTGACAATTATCTACGTATATTTAATAGTTATCTGCCCACAAAATATGACTTATCTTGCCAAAGTGTGTTCTATATAAAAGTAGGTGTCTTTCAATAATTACTGAGTTCGTTATGAACAACAACATGAAGGTCTTAATAGTAACTTTGTTGGCTCTAGCAGTAGCCGCCTCCGCGAGGCACATCACGCTTGAAGATGTCATTGAATTAGAAAAGAACACACCGTACAGTTACATCAAGAGCATCGCCATACCGTTGGCTGACGAAGTCCGCATAGCTGAGGAGGAAGGCAGACAGAATCCATCCAGGATTGTCGGTGGTTCATTAGCTGCTCTAGGACAGTTACCGTATCAGGTAGATACTTAATATTAATAGAGGTACATTGTTTTTATTAAATCAAGACTAATTCTGTGTTTACAAAATAAGCATGAGAGTATTTATTTTACAGGCCGGCTTAATTTTACATCACCCTTCTATCAATGGTCTTGCCAGCGCATCTCTGATCTCCAATAACAGAATATTGACTGCTGCACACAACTTGAATGATGGCTGGTCAACTGTCCCGAGTGTGACTGTTGTCCTTGGAACTACTACTTTAATGTCTGATGGTGTAAGACAAACTACTAGCGACTATGTTTTGCATGAAAATTACAACGTCTTCGTATTCAGAAGTGACATTGCTATCATCAACTTGCCATCACCAGTTCAATTTTCAAGTGAGTATGAATTTATGTTTGACTTGAACAAAACGTAGATTTTGATTTACAGTAAATATTATTTGGTATTCTGTATACATAACTAATAAATAAAAACAGCATGTTTCAATTATTAACATTTTATTTTACTTTTAAGGCAACCTCAGTCCTATTGCTCTTCCTTCTGGGTCTCAACTGGGTGACGACTTCACTGGGGAAATTGCCATTGCCTCTGGTTTTGGAATTAATCCTGGAAGTAAGGAAATATTATTTACATCTTCTTAAAATTCTGTAACCGGAATATTCTGTAGAACACGTTAATTTTTTCTTTTAGATGGTGGTGTGCTTCCAAACCAGCCCCTCAGTTATGTGGATTTGCCCGTAATCTCAAACGATGAATGCAAACAAGCTTACGGATCAATTATTCTACCTGGCATTATATGTACGGGTAGCGTTGTCGGCAAAAACATCTGCACTGGTGACTCTGGAGGTCCTCTTGCCGTCCAGAGGAATAACAGCCCAGTAGTGGTACGTATTATAAAATCACTAAATTAAAAAAAAATGAAGGCTGAAGCGTAATGGTAGGCCATAAGTTAGGATTAAGCAATAAAATTGAATTTTATATACAGGATGTCCCTGAAGTCGACGATCAAATGACACTAGGTAATCGGCAAGGTTTCTACAGTTATCAGACAAATTTCAATAATCAAAAGACTGGCACAGGTGTACTTTTTCATGGATAACACATAACTCATTGTAATTTAAAAACTATTTATTTGACTTGGATTTTTTTAAATTCTGATAACTGCAGGAATGCTGCGAATCACTTAGTGCCATTTGATCATCGATTTCAAGGAAAACTTATATAAAAGTGTAAAATAATAAAAAATCTGTATTTGTCAAATTACGGGTGATTTGATCGTAACATAACATCACGCCTTTTATTCCCGAAGGGGTAGGCAGAGGTACACATTATGCCACTGTACAATGTAACACCCACTTTTCACTATTTATGTTATGAGTCCCATGTAATAGGGGGTGAGCCTCTTGCCATATACCAGGCTCAATTCCAGACTCCGTATTACTACTGAGATTTTTTTTTAAAACCTAGTAATTCTTTGCCCGACCTGGGAATCGAACTCGAGACCCCTTGCCCGGCAGTCGCACTTGCGACCGCTCGGCCAACGAGACAGTCGTTGATCAAATATTTAATTTTTCTTCCAGATTGGTGTCGTTTCATTCAGAAGCGGTGGTGTATGCGACGGCGGTTCTCCTGCTGGATACGCCAGAGTTACGCACTATGTAGACTGGATTAATGAGCATCTGTAATTTATTAAAAAATGATTAAAAACCATATTTAACCTTGTTTTTTTAATATTTGGCCATATTTTGTCATCCATTTTAATTTGGGTAAATTATCCTTATTTAATACTAGCTGACCCGGCGAACTTCGTACCGCCTTAGCGTAGCTTTGATGCACTACTTTATTTTGTATAGTTGACCTATCTTAGGTATGAGTACCTATTCAATTTAAACTGGATTTTTTTTTAACTGGCTTGGCTGTTCAGCCATTCGCCAATGACGCCAATGTCAAGTTAGGGAAACAGATACTACCACAGATTACTAAATAGGATATGCGAAATTTGTATAGGTTTATTATTTGTATTATTTAAAAAAAAATATAAAATAGTGCAATAGAATTTAATTAAGTAACCACGTTTCCGTACAAACTTAATTAAGTAACCACGTTTCCGAACAAACGATGCTCTTTTAATATAGTCTATGGCTGTGAATGACGTTGACATTCGTATAAAAAAAAAAAATTGACATTCGTAACGCGCGTTTTTTAAAATATGCAAAATTAAATGTATAGTTTTCAATATTTCTGAGAGATTTTCTTAATATTTTTTTCCGTAAGAACCATCCTTGGACTTCCACAAACATTTAAAAAAACGAATTATCGAAATCGGTTCAGCCGTTCACACGTGATGCCGTGACAACGCGAAACGGGTTTCATTTTTATATATATAGATTATATATCGGAAACTGAGTTTGTTTGTTTGTTCCGCTTTCACGCCGTAACTACTTAACCGATTGTTTTAAATGTTTGCAGAAGTAAAGTTAGAAGTCCGGATTAAATAATAGGGTACTTTTTATCCCGGAAAAATTTGATATTGCCAAAGGGAGAACAAAAGTATTAGTATAGATGGCGCTGCGTGTATTGATATATGTCACATAGGCTTTTTATCCTTTGGTGGCGCGAGCGAAGCCGCGGGTAAAAGTTAGTAATATATAATCATATTATTATTATAAGAAGGAGTAAACAGGTTTATAAAGGGTCGGCAAGCCGCATGTAATGCCCTATGTGTTGCAAGCGTTCATAGGCCACGGTAACCACTTACCATCCGGTGGGCCGTGTGCTTTTCTTGCCACCGTCGTGGTATAAAAAAAAGATACCAATATCGAAAGAAAACATCCTAAAAAATATTATAAATTGAAAAGGAAGTTTATTGTGAAGAAATCAAACTAACTGTCACTGACTAATTGATAAAGACAATATATTAGTGGATTGCCATACACATACTACATATTTCCCGCTAGCTATTATCCCCCTCCCTCTTCCCCCAATCTCCCCAAATCTCTGGTTCTCCAAAATCCTCAAATTCTTAATCCTTAAAAGGCTGGTAACGCCTTTGTAACGCCTCTGGTGTTCCAGGTGTCCATGCGACGCCGATTACTTACCTTCAGGTGATCCGTCTGCTCGTTTACCGGCTTATCCCATAAAAAAGCTATTAAAACTGTTTCGAATTTAACCCAGGATCTAAGACCTACATCAGAATAAAACAATCGAAATACAATACTAAAGCTCCGAAGTCCAAAATATTCCAGGGGCATACATAACTGTCTTGGATGCCACCACAATGGAATAAATATAAAGATTTTTATTAGCATTTAGTAACATGTGTGTATGTTACTGAATGAGTGGGTAAGTATACGTGTATTAGATGAAGTTATCTTGATTACCATTTTAAACATGTATTAGCATTATTTCTAATTCTGTATTGATTACCGAAGAAACCCAATTATTAAGTTCATCGTGCTTTAGATTGATTGCAATGTTTAAGTCAAAATAATATCTCGAAATTTTACCTTCGTTCGTCACTGTATATTAATCTAAAATCTACGTCGTGGAGAAACCAAATTCTTATTTTCATGTAAGATTGATTTTTATCTATCTAAATAATTATCAATCTGCTAAACGTAGCTTATCTCTTGTTAATGTGCTACTGTATATAAACGAAGGTGTATCTATTGATAAGCTCATAACGAAAGTGAACGGCAGCATGAAGGTATTGGCAGTGACTGTGTTGGCCCTAGCAGTGGCCGCCTCAGCGAGGCACATCACACTTGAAGATGTCATCGAATTAGAAAAGAACACTCCGTACGGTTACATCCAGAGGATCGCCATACCATATGCTGATAAAGTTCGAATAGCTGAGGCGGAAGGCAGCCAGAATCCATCTAGAATCGTTGGTGGTTCATTAGCTGTTCTTGGACAGTTCCCATACCAGGTGGGTACTAATCCTAATTTTTTTATAATGGATACTTAAAACATACACAATCAAGCTCAAATAAGAGAATCTTCATCACTGACAATAAAATACATCACTTGATTACTACAAGTCGAATATCACAAAGAATTTGTTTTACAGGCCGGCTTACTATTGAATTACCCTACTAGAACTGGTCTCGCTAGTGCATCTCTAATCTCCAACAACAGAATCCTAACTGCTGCACACAACTTGAATGATGGTGTATCGAGTGTCTCGAGTGTGACTGTTGTCCTTGGATCTACAACTCTAATGTCTGGTGGTGTTAGACAAACTTCCAGCAACTACGTTTTACACGAAAATTATGACATTTCCATAGTAAGAAGTGACATTGCTATAATCAACTTGCCATCTTCTGTCCAATTCTCAAGTAAGTGTAATTTGATTCATTTTTTTTTGTATTTTATAATATTGAACTATTTTAATGTATTAAGGTTTATTTTATTATCAAATATAAAATCGTTGTAGGTGAAAATGAAACGACAAATCCTTTGACACAATGAAAATGATTTTGATGCAATGAAAAAAATATTTTAGTGTTTTTACCACAAGGCCTCAAAAACGTCCTCATCATTGGCATGAAGAATGGCATTGTTTACATTTTTACTAATAACAATAGCAACAAAATATGATTCGTTCCAATAGTAACTCTGTCATCCTAATCTACAGATATCGTGGCTCCCATCGCCTTGCCTTCTGGATCTCTGCTCCAAGAAGATTTTGTTGGTGAAGTTGCAATTGCTTCTGGTTTTGGAATGAATCCTGCAAGTAAGAAATTTTAGATTATACCTCTACAATAATTTTATCAATATCTATTTTAATGAATAAATTATTGAACTTGTAAATAATATTCCTTTCTTTGTTACACAGTTGGTGGTGTGATTGCAAACCAGCCGTTTAGCTATGTGGACTTGCCTATAATTACGAACAATGAATGCGCCGCATCTTATGGATCAGTAATTCAGCCTGGAATTATCTGCACGGGTAGTGTTGTTGGCAAGAACATTTGCAGTGGGGACTCTGGCGGTCCTCTTGCTTTACAGAGAAGCGGCAACCCATTGTTGGTATGTGTACTAAGAATCTTATGCATAAAATCTTATGGTGAACCGACTTAAAAACTAAACAATTTTTGGATTAATATTGTCGAAATATTGAAATCTTGATAATCATCATAAGTACCATTTTCGTCCACTACTAGACATTGACCATTAATTAAACTATAACTGTTTTTTATTTATTTATTTTCATCTGTTCCTTTTTAAAGGCCCAAATCAATATTTTAATACGTAAGTTCCTACATATTTGAAAAGATTGTTGGTTTTAATCAAATGTTTAATTTTTCTTACAGATTGGTGTTGTTTCGTTCGGCCGTGGTGGATGCGATGGTGGTTCTCCTTCTGGATACGCTAGGGTTACACACTACATCAACTGGATTAATGCGCGTCTGTAATAATATACATAAATATGAAGAATAAATTGAATAAATGATGTTTTTAAATATAAAATAAAGTTTATTTCGAACAATCCATTTCGTACCTATTTTTCTACTGTTGGGAATACATCTTCGCACAATACCATGTATTATTGGTGAATCGTACCTCCCTGCAATAGTTTTCAGAATGGAGTTGGAACTGGCCCATACCCTGTACCTCGTATTAGGTAATAATTGATTCTGTCCTCATTTTGTATGTGCCTTAATACGAATAGATATGGTTTGATAACGTAATTTATCAGTCTATTTGATACCACACGTAAAGACAACATTCTAAGCATTACGTAACATGACGTCAGACACAGGGCTGTTGGGGCTTAAAAGTGTGACGTCGTGTCAACAGAGGTGCCTTTTCTATGGGATAGGGCAGCAAAAGATCAGATATTCACCCAGTGGTAAACAATCCGCGCCACCTATGGACACCCGAAAACTATTTTTGGAAAAGCAAAGACACATCTAGCCTAAATTCAACGTTAGAAATGAACCACAAAAGTACGGAGGGGATGAAGTCTGAAAAACACCACACAGAACCACTGTGTTTAAATTGAAAAATACAAAAATAAGCAAAAAATATTATGTAGTAGGAGATGAAACATATAAAATTCAAATAACTATAACAACTACCAGGCAGGATACAACATTCCAAAAATGGTTAGTCCATTTAAAATGTAGAATAGGTACGCATAGTGTTACTAAGTTCGGTTTATAATGCAAATACCAAATACAAAAGCGCTGCTTGTTCGGTCTCTTGTGTTTCCTGTGATTGATTATGCTGATGTTTGTTACTCTGACCTATCCCAAGACCTTCTTAACAAATTGGATCGAATGCTCAACAATTGTATCCGCTTTATCTTCGGACTTCGTAAGTACGACCATGTCTCTTCCTTTCGCGCTCAGCTTAAATGGCTTCCTATCCGTGAGAGGCGATCCCTTAGATCCCTCTGCATGCTCTTCTCTATTCTAAATGATCCTTGTGCTCCCGAATACCTAAAGTCTGGCTTTCAGATTTTGGGCAGCTCTCACAGCCGAAATCTCCGTTCAGCTGAAAGCTTGCTTCTAGAGATCCCGTCTCACCACACTTCTTTCGTTTCTAACTCCTGCAGAGTTAGTGTAATTAAATTATGGAATGCACTACCCCATAGTATAAAAATGGCTCCAAACAAAATGGCTTTTAAACGTAGTGTTCGTGAGGTCTATTTAAAGGCGCTACAACGCTGAGTTCGTGTCTTCGTCAATTTATATTATATTATAATTATATATATATGAAGTTATTTATGTACATATTTTTTATTTATTATATATTTTTATACATTATGTTATACAGTATTTATTATTGCTATTAGTTATTTATTTTGTTTTTTTTGCATAATTATTACACAAGCCCATTTTCGCTGAGCTTACTTTTAACCCAAAGGTTGACTGGGAGAAAATGCCATATGGCATTAAGTCCGCCTTATGTCCGTATTATGTGTGCATTAAAGTGTAAATAAATAAATAAATAATGTTACTGTTTATTCAAGAACTATGATAAAATTAATGATAATAGTGAAAGCAGGTCCGTGCTTTTGAGTGAGGACTATGTTTACGTCAAAATAATAAATATATAATTACCAGAACATTCCTATACTTTCGTCACCGAAAATTAATCTTATGCCTACCTAGTACGTAACAGAATGATATTCTTGGGAAAACCCTCCAAATTGTTATTTTCAGGTTTAATTTAATATTGATTTTATCTGTCTAAATAATTATCTATTTGCTAAATATAGCTTATCTCTCCTTGATTTGATGCTTTATATAAACGAAGGTGTCTATCAACTAGTATTAACAAGCACACAACTAATGTGAACAGTAACATGAAGTTGTTGGCAGTGATTCTGTTAGCTCTAGCAGTGGCCGCCTCCGCGAGGCACATCACGCTTGAAGATGTAATCGAATTAGAAAAGAACACTCCGTACGGTTACATCAAAGCTATTGCCATACCATTAGCTGATGAACTCCGTATTGCTGAAGAGGACGGCAGACAAAATCCATCCAGAATTGTCGGTGGTTCGTTAGCTGCTCTTGGACAATTTCCGTATCAGGTAGGTACTGGATACATATTATTGATATTAATGATTTTGATCAGCTTGTAATTATTGTTATATGTTCTACAACTACAAGAATAAGAATAATTATTTTCTACCTAAATAGTGATGAGTCACATAGAATTTCTTTTACAGGCCGGTTTATTGTTACATCAACCTTATGGTAATGGTATAGCCAGCGCATCTCTAATCTCCAATAACAGAATATTGACTGCTGCACACAACTTGAACGATGGCTGGTCAACTGTCCCGAGTGTGACTGTTGTCCTTGGATCTACCACTCTAATGTCTGGTGGTGTAAGAATAAGTAGTTCCGACTATATTTTACACGAAAACTATGACATTTCCATATTCAGAAGTGACATTGCTATCATCAATTTACCATCTCTAGTTCAATTCTCAAGTAAGTATTTATTGGGTTACAAACATTTTTCATCGGACAAGATGAAAAATGATGTATGGTAATGAAATGAAAACTCAGTTCATATTAAATATTATTTCCAACTCAGCTCATTTCTAAAATGGCAAAAGTTTGATAAAATACCTAAAATAATGATACCACGTCTAAAGAAGGTGTTGAAAGAAAATTCCATGGTAAACATATTTTTGGTCTAGAATATAAAAATGGAAACCAAACACAAACCGTTCGAATATAACACAAGGCAATCCTAATCTCCAGGCATCCTCGCTCCCATCGCCCTGCCTTCTGGATCTCAGATCGAAGAGGATTTCGCTGGTGACATTGCTATTGCCTCTGGTTTTGGCAATAATCCTGGAAGTAAGGAACTTTTACATTATAATCATATTTTGATGAGTCTCTCAAATATTTAAATTGTAAACCTTTAATTGTTACATAGTTGGTGGTCTAGTTCCAAACCAGCCGTTTAGCTACGTAGACTTGCCTGTGATCTCCAACGATGAATGCGCTTCAGCTTTTGGGTCAATTGTTCTGCCTGGAATTATTTGCACAGGCAGTGTTGTTGGCAAAAATATTTGCACTGGTGACTCTGGTGGTCCTCTTGCTGTACAGAGGAATGAAAACCCACTCTTGGTATGTACCTATAGTAATAACAAGCTCAAAAACAGCTTTCATAAAACTGCACAATCTAACCCATCGAAGCTTTAGTTCAGCCTATTCTAAATATAGTCCATTATATATTTTGTCTTATAGATAGTACATTTCCGTATGCTACTATATATAGGCCTTATATTATACATTTTCTATATTTATCTTTTTGTTACTCCAATTTTTAGTAAATAGTTATTATTACTCGACAGCAATATTATACGTCTGTAAATATTCTTGGTTTTAAATCAAAATATGTTTATTTTATTCACAGATCGGCGTTGTTTCGTTCGGACGTGGTGGATGCGATGGTGGTTCTCCTTCTGGATATGCTAGAGTTTCACACTACATTGACTGGATCAATGAACGTCTGTAATATATTTTTGAAAGTAAACACGTATTTCATTTAATCGTAGCTATACCTATACCCGTCACCGCGATTTAGTTTATGTATTATGGAATCATAAATTCTAAGCCAACTGCTTAAGTTTGGAAAATAATGTCGTTTTTTGACGAATCAAGTGTTCTTCGTACAACTTTTACCGTACTTTAAGTGACTGTACTGAAAAAAATTGTACTGAACTACTAAGTAGTGGAAAATATCACGAAAGTTGGACCATTTAATAAGGATTCTAAATTGGTATATCACTCTCTACATTATTTCTCAAATTCGACACAAATAAATATTTTTCAACGAAACTCCGTTTCGAACAGTTTATTTGGATTTAATTAAATTAATTCTAGTGTAATCGAAGCGCACCTAAAAACCTTCATGTTGCTAAACACTGCATGATTGGCGTGGTGCCTGGGCAACTGGCTGCCGTGCAACGTGTCGCGGGTTCGATTCCCGCACGGAACAACTCTTTGTGTGATGCATAGATTGTTGTTTCGGGTGATGTGTATGTGAATTTGTATGTTTATAAACGCACCCACAGGTGAAAATACTAGTGTGGGGCAACGTTTAAAAAAAACAAAAGAAAAGAAACACGTTGGAAATCAGCGAGGATCTCTTGTTAAACCATATCGTCTATCTACTCATGATTTCACTAGCAGCATTCGTCGGCAATATTGTCGTTGAAAGAAAAAGTTTGTGCATCACGTTCCTCTAAAGAATATTTGATGTTCAACTCCAGTTGCATGGAGATAAGTAACATTGCGTGCATCATATTCCGTTTGTTAAAAATATCAGTAATAATAAACCACCAATAGTAATCACGTGGCCCAATTAGGGATCCTCAATTATATTTTTTGATCAAATAAGATTGTTAAACGTGCATGGGGCGTGACCTTCGCACCTCCATGCGTTGTACACGACGCCGACGAAGCACCACGGGCGCGCTGACACCGCGCCGCCCGCTGCTACGTTTGCTTGATTTTACTACACATTACCATGCAACATGGTGTTGAACATCAAATGTTCTTTAGTAAGATGTGATCCACAACATTAATTCCTCTAGCAGCAATATTGTCGACGGATGCTGCGAATACGTTGCGATTTAACAAGAGATCATCACTATAGTTTCCAACATGTTTAGCAACATGATGATGTCATGTCGAATTTAAGGAATGATGTAGGGAGTGGTACACCATTTTTAAGTCCTTATTAAATACGCCAACTTTGGTGAAATTCGTCACTACTAGCGCAGTACATTTTTTCAGTAAATTCACTAAAAGTAAGGTGAAAGGTTTATTGAGAATATTGGATTCGTCAAAAATGATATTCTTTTCCAAACTAAACCAGTTGGCCCAGAATTTATCTTCTATATATATAAAATTCAAAGGTGATTGACTGATTGACTGACTGACTGACATAGTGATCTATCAACGCACAGCCCAAACCGCTGAACAGATTAGGCTAAAATTTGGCATACAGATAGATGTTATGACGTAGGCATCCGCTAAGAAAGGATTTTGATAATTTCCACCCCCAAGGGGGTAAAAAAGGGGATGAAAGTTTGTATGAAACTTTGTCAGTTTTTAACTGATCGGGTTGAAATTTGGCATGCAGATAGATGTTATGACGTAAGCATCCGCTGTGAAAGGATTTTGATAATTTCCACCCCCAAGGGGGTAAAATAGGGGATGAAAGTTTGTATGAGACATTGTCAGTTTTAAATCGATCGGTTTGAAATTTGGCATGCAGATAGATGTTATGACGTAGGCATCCGCTGTGAAAGGATTTTGATAATTTCCACCCCCAAGTGGGTAAAATAGGGGATGAAAGTTTATATGAGCCTTTGTCAGTTTAAACCATCCGATCAGGTTGAAATTTGGCATGCAGATAGATGTTATGACGTAAGCATCCGCTTTGAAAGGATTTTGATAATTTCCACCCCCAAGGGAGTAAAATAGGGGATGAACGTTTGTATGAAGCTTTGTCAGTTTTACACCGATCGGGTTGAAATTCGGCGTGCAGATGGATATTATGACGTAAACGTCCCTTTAGAAAGGTTTTTGAACATTCTCACCCCAAAGTGGGTAAAATAGGGGGTGAAAGTTTGTATGATACTTTGCCAGTTTTAAATTGATCGGGCTGAGACTTTGCATGCATAAAGTTACTATGACATAGGTATCTCTTTAGAAAGGATTTTGATAAATTCCACCCCTAAGGGGATAAAATAGGGAATGAGAGTTTGTATAAATCTTCTTAGCCGTTGAATTTAGAATCATTAATCTACGCGGACGAAGTCGCGGGCAACAGCTAGTGATTCCATAAGCAAAAATACAGACGAAAAAATGAAGAACTGTAGCAACATGAGTCAAAAGACTGGCACAGGGTGTACTTTTTTGTGGATAACACGTAATTCATTTTAATTTAAAAACTGTAAGACTTGAAACTTTTTTAATATTTTGCTGATAGCTCTTAAAACCTTGCCTACCACCTGGTGCCATTTGCTTGTCGACTTCAGGGATACCCTGTATATTCAGCTGCAGTGGGTTTACTCGAGTTTACCAGAGTTTACTAATGATAATTCAGGTTATTGTTTTTAGTTTACCAGAATTTGATAAACAAAGAAGTCTTTATTATTTTGTTTTTAATGCTTTCGTTCCCCCATAATATGTCCACCTTGATTGTTTTAAGTGCGAGTTAAAAAAGTGTCATATTTGTATGAAAAAAAAGTTGACACATACTGTTTCTCTAAACTCTTTTTCGAAAATATTCGTATTAACCTTTTGAACAAAGAGTATAATAAGTATAGGGGTACTTTTGAACTTGTACAATTTTGTTGCTTATGAGTATAAGTTTTATTAAATCGGTTCAATATTTTTCATAATCATTGATTTAACAGTTTGTTTGCAACCTGTGCCGAGTAAAAGCTCTTAAATCTAATTTTGTGATAAATGACTCTCATAGGCCCAAACACTACAATCCAGGACAAACAATAGAATAAATGAACTAATACAGACACAATTAATTAAATCTGATGATTCCCCATAAACAAAAATAACTGTCTTGAATCCCACAACGAAATAAAAGCAAATACGCGTTAAAATTGTTTAATACACCTTGTTGTGACAACCGCATGGTATAAAGGTTTACCAGTAGACGGCGCAGTACACATTCAACTTTACCTATATTATAGTATCAATGTACGCAAGCGAAGTTTACACACCAGTAAAAACATAGAGAAAGTCTCAACATTCAATCGTTGGGTAATTGCTCGCAAGGCCTGAAGTTATAAAATAAAACAGGTTTTACACTGAAGTTATAAAATAAAACTATAAATTGTGATCCTGTACATATAGTAAATATTAATGATTAAAATTGTGTTTCAGCATACGCCTATACAGAGTGCAAGAACGAATATACTAATTCTCTATTACGAAACGGACTTATAAATAAATAGATTTTCGTCAGCACGTATTTGACGATTTGAAAATTTTGTTTTTTTTATTCGCCTTAGATTTTTAGTTCTATAGCCATAGTACAACCTTTTGGAACATGAAGAGAGAGAGAGAGAGAGAGAGAGAGAGAGGACAGATATTTCAACTGATAGAGATATCATTCACAGCAATAAAATAAAGTCACCAATTTTAAAACATTTATTTCATAATCACTAACTAAAAGTAACCGAGGGAAGTGCAAACTATTGTTTTTTTCTTCTCCTCTTAAAATATCTTCTGACAAATCAGAATCTGATTTCGTAGCGGGATCCAAGACAGTTAATTATGTCCCTGGGACGCGCCGGACTTCAGTGTTCTGTTGTCATCTACTGTAGATCCTGGCTTACAGGAGTCGCAGCGGTTTAGGAAGGTTGTGGCAGGCTTGTCCAAAAAAATATCGAACATCTGAAATTGAAACATGATAAATGAAATAAAATTTTTCTAAGTTGCAAATTTTACCTTACTTATCATATTAAAGCTACTATCATTGCCTGGTTTCTGGTAAGCTACAATAAAACAACATGTCATTGTTTCAGTTAACACAAATACATGCAAATGCACTTGTCCTGCTGTAGTGTATCTTGCGATGAACCAATACTTAAACATCGCCAGCGAAATTTGAGTACTTCGATACATCTTTCCACGGTATTCCGAGGCTGACAATGTTTTTGGGCGTAGTGCCGTTGTTGAGTGTCTGGCTCGGTATTAATGATAGGTATTAGTACACAAATAAGCTAGTAATAAATAATTATATTTACCTTTTAACGTGTATTATTTATTAATAGATAAAATCCATAGCGTTCAATCTTCGACTTGGTAAGGGAGGAGCCCTTTCTGTATCAATTTACTTCTCGAATTCCATTCACATCTCGAACTCTATTTACTGTTACTTACTTCCCAATAAGATAATGTCTAAGTTAAAGAGTTTAATATTTTTTAACAAATTTGTTTGTTTTTAAATGAAGTTTCAATTTACTGTTATTCTGACAGTGACTGACTGACGTGACTTATGAGCACGAGTCATTGCCAGCAAAAAGGAAATAAGAAAAACAAAATCAAATACTGTATGTAGTTTTTACACTGTATTTTAATGGATTTTCTAGTTTCTTGATAGATATTAGAAAATCTTATAATTAAAAAACATTCAGGATCGAATTTTTTTAATTCAAGTGATAATAAAACACAAGATAAATAAAACCGGTAAAGTTACGGTTCGGTTTCTCTCTATATATTTCTTATGTAGCAACATCGGCATCTAATATGATTCAGTTATGAAATGAATTGAAGATGTTTCATATTTTATTGTTACCATTTTATGGTGATTTAGGTGATTCTCTAACAATTCATCAAATCTGTCATATTAGAAATGATTCACCCAATGTTACCTTTTTAGGCCCCCTGGTCATCTCATCTGGTCTAAGGATTCTCCATTCCAATATTTGGGAACCCCAGTTTTTTACATCATAGTTCAAGAACACAAAATTTACTATAGTTATAGAACATAAAATTTGCAATAATTACACTAATTTTAGTTTTAGACTGGTTTATCCGAGAACTCCGATAAATTGATGATAATAATAAAAAACCACGTTTGTTTTACTTACGTTATGGAAGAATATTAATTACTGGGGAAAACATAATTGTATTTTTGGGATTCAATTTGATGTTGATTTTTATCTGTATGAATAATTATCAACCTGCTAAATAAAGCTTATCTCTTCTTGAATTGCTACTCTATATAAACCAGGGCGTTTAAGTATAAGCACACATTGAATGGAAACAGCAACATGAAGTTTTTGGCAGTGACTCTGTTGGCTCTAGCAGTGGCGGCCTCCGCGAGGCACATCACACTTGAAGATGTCATCGAATTAGAAAAGAACACTCCGTACAATTACATCCAGAGGATCGCCATACCGTTGGCTGACGAAGTCCGTATTGCTGAAGAGGAAGGCAGACAGAATCCATCTAGAATCGTTGGTGGTTCGTTAGCTGCTCTTGGACAATTCCCGTATCAGGTGAGTTAACTTATCATGAATATGCAAAGAGTTAGCGTTTCATCAGGACAAGTTACTACTTGTCCGAAGTACTCTTCTATTAAACTAATCACAAAGAGAAAAATTGTTATAGTTGGGTAATTACAATCATGCGAACTCTCACATCAAATAAATGTGGCAATGCAGTACAATTCGCATGAGTGTGAGCGAGAAATATGATAAAAATGACAATTTGATGAAAATGATGTTTGTAATGGCCTAACTATAGTTAATTTCTTTAATAACTTCAAGTCAAAAATCACAATTAATTATTTTTTCAGGCCGGCTTACTGTTACATTACCCTACAAGAACTGGTATCGCTAGTGCATCTCTAATTTCCAACAACAGAATACTGACTGCTGCACACAACTTGAATGATGGTGTAGCAAATGTTCTGAGTGTGACTGTTGTTCTTGGTACTACAACTCTAATGTCTGGTGGTGTAAGAATAATTAGTAGCGACTATATTTTGCACGAAAACTATGACGTTTCTGTAGTTAGAAGTGACATTGCGATCATCAACTTACCATCTCCTGTTCAATTTTCAAGTAAGTGTATATGTATAAATGGAATTACTTACATTCTTTTCAATTTAATCATTCATAATTTTTTAAAGCAAAATGGTAATAGTAAAACTTTGTAAACAATAAAAATAGTAATTGTAATGCGATTATAAAATAACTAAACATTTAAAAAATAACGAAATTGATAATTTACCTACTTGATGTTTTGGAACACTTATGTTGAGTTATGCATTTAGTTTTTTATAATCGCTATCGTCAGATAAGGTGCTCAAAAGACTAACATAATTTTTTATACTACATATGTTTAATATCTACCTTATCTCCAGGCATCGTCGCCCCCATCGCCCTGCCCTCTGGATCTCAGCTCGAAGAAGATTTTGTTGGTGAAGTTGCCATTGCCTCTGGTTATGGATTAAATCCTGCAAGTAAGAAATTTAACATTATTAGAATCGTTTCAATACTATTTTGAATTCAATAGACTTATAAATCAATTACTCTATTTGTTAAACAGTCGGTGGTGTGGTTTCAAACCAGCCATTTAGCTACGTGGACTTACCCGTGATCTCCAACGATGAATGCGCCCCATTTTACGAATCAATAATACAGCCGGGAATCATCTGCACGGGTAGTGTTGTTGGCAAAAACATCTGCAGCGGTGACTCTGGTGGCCCTCTTGCCATACAGAGAAATGGCAACCCATTAGTGGTATGTACAGTCAAAATAAGCTTTTAAAAGGGATAAAAATCACAATACAAATTCTAAATATGGAAGCTATTTAAAACGTATATTAAAAACCTCATTGTTGATAATAATGATTTTCGTCTACCTCCTCCACTACAGAACATATACCCTCCATCAGTACATTTCTTTTTCACCTTTTTTGGTTTTATCTATGCATTTTATAACCTTAAGAAATAAATAAGTATATTTACAGTTGCCGTTAATATTCTGAGTTTTAATACAATATTTATATTTTACAGATTGGTGTTGTTTCATTCAGCCTCGGTGGATGCGATGGTGGTTCTCCTTCTGGATACGCTAGAGTTTCACACTATATTGACTGGATCAATGAACGACTGTAATATTGAAAGAATAAATGAAATAAAGAATTTACATACTTTAAAGAAGTTTTCACAAATAATCAAAATACACATTCCAGTATTTCATTTCAATTATCGGTATTCGGTATAGGCTAAGGTATCCATGATTTGTTAGATCATTATGAACTTATATACCTATATAATTAGCTTCTGCCCGCGACTTCGTCCGCATGGAATAGTGACTTCTGCCAGATTTTTGGTTTTACCCACATACATAGTTCCCGATCTCGTGGAATTTTCGGGAAGTTCTCGCTCCCGTGGAATTCCCGGGATAAAAACAATCAGATGTCCTTTCTCAAGTTTCAAACTATGTCTGTACTAAAATTCATCCAAATCGGTTCAGTGGTTTAGGTGGGAAGAAGAGACAGACAGACATTATAAATGCTAAAATACTTTGTCTATCTGTCTGTGCATTGGATTGAAATAAAATAAACACAAAATTTTGAGGGAAGCTTACAGCAACACATTAAAACAACCCAAAAACCGATTAGTTATTGCTTTAAAAGTAAAAAAAAACTTTTTTCTCATTTATCTTCCATGTAGAGACACCGACCTTTTACAATTTTATTATAATTATGTATATTGATGACTGAATGAATGGTTTTGGTTTAGTATCATCAGAACACACACACACACACAATTATATAGTTGATACCACACATCACAGCAATATTCTAATTAATATAAAACATAGCACCACGTATGTAAACTTTGAGAATTACAAAGAAACTTAATAATAATATTTTTCCCGACTTCAGATCGGAATCTTTGTCACTCTATCTATAATGATACTGAGAATTTTTCCTTACAAGAACGTATTTTATACAATGAAGTTCGAGCACATATCCAGAGATGGCGCTATGCAATCATTTATCGTTTAAGCGAAGCTTTCATTATGACTATCAACCTGCAAATTTCTCTCAGTGAATGCAGCATAATGCAGTTTATTAAATATTTTGCAAATATCACTTGTGATTTCTCAGTCCTCCAACTTGTTCATTAATTAAAGCATATATCCGCATATATCGGAAATGTGACTACCAAGCGATCCATCTCCGAAACGAGAAAATGTTATTCAAAATTTAATTTGACTTTTATTTGAAAGGAACTCAAAATCTGACAAAACTACATGATACATAATAAAATAACTGAGAGATATCTAATATAATCTTATCTGGTCTGATAGATTATTAATTTTATTTATTTCAGTAACTAGAATTTATTTCAAGCAACATGAAGTTTTTGGGCGTGATTCTATTAACTCTAGCAGTTTCAAGCACTGCAAGACACATCACGCTAGAAGATGTTATTGATTTTGAAGAGAACACCGCGTATGGGTATCATACAAAAATTGGAATACCTTTAGCTGATGAAATCCGTAAATCAGAAGAAGATAACCTAAAACCATCTAGAATAATTGGTGGATCCGTCGTTGATTTAGAAAAGTTTCCGTATCAGGTTAGTTCGTTCAATTGCCTTTGTAAACATTTTTATTTATCTTTCATGTGGACAAAAGACAAATTAAAGGAAAAATATATTTCATGCCACATACGATTCAGTTCCAATTTCAGTTCAATTCAGAAATTCAGTTTATTATTTTCAATTCTCCTATAAGTGAACACAGCTATGCACTGAACACCAAATTTAATAGAAAGATATATTCTACATCAGTATGAAACAAAAGATAGCAGATAATTATTTAACATTGATTGGCATATTGAAAACTTAAGACAGGATAACTATGACAGAAGGGAATTGACATAAAATTTTATTACAATGCACCAGGTATTATGGATCAGGATCAGGATTTGTGTCAAATATTTTTTCTAAAACGGAAACCAAATTAATTTATCAATGTTACAAACACGTGCCTGTTATCTTTGAAAAATAGAATAGATAACTAAATGTTTCGCTATCTAAAATAGACACTATGTAAAACTTAGCTATATATAATTGTAGAATTTTGCGTTATAGAGGTAGTCCCGTGGCAAAACAACTTGCCATAAGGAGTACCTACTATCAAAAACGAAAAAAAAAGATGTCATTATGTTTCAGTTTTTTTTTTCATGGAAATACGCACACAAAACCCTAAACGTAAAGTATATCACGCACATCCCACCCAACGAGACATACGTCTTCGAGTATTACATGGTGTGCTATTTTGATAATCTAAGTACTATGAGTTTGTATGCGCTTCCGAAGAATGATTTTTGTAATAGTTTAATAGTTATTTTTTGTTTTAAACATATTATTTCTATTTAAAACTATTTTATTACCAAGACAGAACCATTTTACTTCGAGACAAAAACGAAACATATTTCACGGTGTATATCATTCATTATACTTTTTTTTTTTTAAGGGGGGAAAATCATCGAATGATCATTCATTATACTAAAGATATAAGTAGGGACAATCAAAGAGTTATACAGTAATTTATTTTCATGTACATAAGTAGAGGTACTTATCTTTCTTTTAGATTATATTGCCGTACAGCTTGCCCAGTCCTCCCCGATTCTTTCACAAAAGCCTACAACTCACTTGTAACTCCTCTGGTTTTTTGGCACTGTGTGCTTACCGATAAGTGATCTGTCAGCTCATTTGCCAATCATAAAAAACTAAGCAGTAATTATCTATACTAATATCATAAAGCTGAAGAGTTTGTTTTTTTGTTTGTTTGAACGTGCTAATCTCCAAAACTACTGGTCCGATTTGAAAAATTATTTCTGTGTTGGATAGCCCATTTATCGAGGAAGGCTATAGGCTATAAAACATTACGCTACGATTAATAGGCGCCGAGCAGAGCGAGTGAAACCGCTCGGAAGTAGCTAGGCTATATACAGGTGTAAACGGAACGATCCAGAAACACTGACAAAAAGAAATTGTTTTTACAATTTTAGTCCGATTTGTTTTCGTGTTACTCATGTAAGATCAGACTTAAGCAGTTGATTACAACTATTATTACATAAAAGATACATTTCTTACTTTTATAAAATTAAAACTCGTTTGTGACCATCACCTGTCGGCGTTTTTTTGTGAGAGTTCTGTTTACACTCTCTATTATATTAATTATATATACAATATTTAATAATACATCTGATTGAACTGTGTATAATCTAATGCCGGAATACTGAAACGTTACTCAATTTTAAGTCGTGCTCAAATATCGTGCCATCTCTGTCATTTTACAAAGAATTTGTAGAGATAGAACTATACTTAAGCACGATTTAAAATTGAGCAGCGTTTTAGTATTCCGACATAACTAAAAAATATAACAGTCTGTTATAATATTTTCCAGGCTGGTCTCCTCTTACGTCTGCCAATCGGGACGTCAATCGCTGGTGGAGTCTTAATATCTCCAACAAGAGTTTTAACTGCAGCTCATATTTTTAATGACGCTGTATCATCTGTAACAACTGTCACCGTGGTACTTGGTACAATCAATATATTCATCGCAGGAGTAAGACTTGATACAGAGGAATTCACTTTGCATGAAAATTATAATCCCGCTACACTTAGAAATGATATTGCTGTCGTCGCTTTCCATTATATCGTTGCTATTACTGGTAAGTGTTTATTTAATACAACTACAGTAAAATAACTGTAGTTATTTGTTTTTGAAGATTAAAGCCATTTATTGCGAGTAGATTATTTTTAGAGTAATTTGATTTTATTTTCCGTTATTAATTATTTAACTATTAAAATAGATAAATCATTGAGATAATGCAAATCAAAGGAAGAACAACAATTAAATAAATAATATTTTATAAGAATAAAATGTTCTCTCTCTTTTTTCAGCTTTTGTCAGTCCTGTGTATTTACCAATAGAATCTATGGAAGAGGAATTGTATGAAGGCAAAACTGCCCTCGCTTCTGGTTATGGACAAACCTCCAATAGTAAGACACTCATATTGTCAAATGATTTTTCTGTACAGTGTACACTTTTTTAAGAAACCAAAAATAAATTTGAACTTTCGAATTCCGTACTATTTTAAACTTTTCGAAAACCTAAAAAAGAACCACTTTGCCAAACATTGGACTTGATCACTCGGCCAACGAAGTAGAAGTAGAAAAAAATTACCTAGTAATGTTGGCAACTATTTTCGAAAAATAATTTATACAAAATTTTGCTACAAGAGATTCAGTACCACATAATTTGTATAAATAACTGTATGTTTCACTGTATTATATAGATGGCATCTTTATACCTGGTGTGTTGAATTATGTGAAGCTCACCGTCATTACGAACGAAGAGTGCGCTAAAGTTTTTGGTTCATTCGTCCAACCTACAAATATTTGTGCAAGCGGCAACGGCAACGTATGTCAGGGGGACGCTGGTGGACCTCTTGTTGTGTATAGAGATACAAGGCATTTTTTGGTATGTATTAGTAAATATTTGTCAAATACATTCGTATTTTTGTAATAAAGGATCATATTAATACATATTACATTACACATGTTAGAAGCTACAAATATACAATAATCACCAGAATTGCCCTCATGAAAAACTGAAGCTAAGTCTCTCGCACAATTTCAACTGCCGAGCAGTCGTAGACTGGTGATTTGAGTTACCGTTATTAGTTATTTACTACATAGTTACATATTAATATATAACGAGGGGCCAAACCAACAATAAATTATTTTTTTCTAAAATTAGGTACCACTAATAGTTTTCACGAGTCTTCATATTAACTTCCAACGTTTGAATTATATTATATTTGAACTTCTTATCCATATGATGCCCCATATGATATATGATTACAGTCCAGAAGGTTATCATCATCATCAGCTTTTTTACTTGGTCCATGTCGCTGGCTAAGTAAAATGTTTGTTCGGTTAAGCTGATACCTTTCCACTCCCGAACTTTGCGTATGTTATGATCACATTTGTGATACCGTCATTAATCCATCCCTTACACTTCCTTTTATTTGTTTCTGTGTCAATTTTAGGTCGGTCTTTCGTCATTTGGAATAGGCCGATGTGAAAGTGGATGGCCATCCGTATACACCAGAATTACTTCCTACATAGAATGGATCATGGAACGTATTTAGTAATATAGAAAGAGAAGAGAGCAGTTTTGGATACGAAGAGTGATGTCCAACATTTTTTTTTTTGTATAATAGCCGTCTCTACTTATTTGTATATTTTAAAAAAAATATTACATTGAAATAAATACATTGTCTTATTAAACATACTTTTTTTCCTCTCCTACAAAAACGTAATAAACTTTTATCTACGAAAATTAAAACCTATGTATCAACGATGAAATTGACCACAGGTGCAATTACCTACTAGAAGAAAAATTAACATATATTATTACCGATATTTATCACGTTTTCAATGTTATGACCATTTTGGGAAATAAATATTAAAAAATCACTGGCCAAAACGCAAACTGGCCATTACTTTTGAGCCATTGAGAATTAGAAACAAGAATAAGAATTAGAAGCAAAAAGTATGAGAATGGCCTCCTCTGTGCCCCCTGTTTGATTAGATCCATACTTCCATGGATATAAAGCTATGAGCTATGGTGCATTTTTATTAAATCACAATTTTAAAAAGTTGTGAGTTTTAAGAGTAATAAGCGAGAAAGCGTCATTATAAGTACCTATTTCACTTGGACTTAATGCTTAACATTATCAGCAGTCATCATTTAAGTAGTAGTAGTGCATTTTGTTAAGTAGGTACACTTTCTGCAACGTAAAGTAATAAAATAACATAACATCACGCCTTTTATTCCCGAAGGGGTAGGCAGAGATGCATTAGATTACCGCATTTGCACAATGCCACTAAACAATGTAACACCAACTTTTCACTATTTATGTTATGAGTCCCGTGTAATAGGGGTGAGCTTATTGCATATACCGGGCATTTCCAGACTCCGTGCTACTACTGAGATTTTAAAAAACCCAGTAATACTTTGCCCGACCCGGAAATCGAACCCGAGACCCCTTTCCCTGCAGTCGTACTTGCGACCCCTCGGGCAACGAGGCAGTAATAATATACATATTAAGCATATATAAGCATATATGCTATGCTTATATATGCTTAATATGTATTTTATTAAGTAGGTTACCTATGTTAAGTAGGCACGTTAGTATGGAAGTAGGCTTTAGACATTTATTACCTACGTACCCAAAAAAACCTGAAGAGTAAAAACCCGAAACCTATATATATATCACATGTCTACGTCAAATCTTTGAGTCATCAATAACAAAGCAGATCGTTGATAAAATTGATAGTAAAATCAATCAGGGAATTTCAATGTACTGTGAATCCTTAGGTTAAAAATATAAATTTTCGTACCAATTTCACAAGTTGCATAAATTCTTGATTTAGTAGATCTGTACATCCAGCAGGCAGACCAAGTTAAACTCGATAGATTATTTTTTTTTAAGGGGGGAATATCATCGAATGACTCCTCCCGCCTGGGTGAGGCGGAAGGGAGTGTCAGACTCTTACTGACTAAAAACCACCCCGTTCCTTCTCCTGCACGTCGAGCCGGAGCCCCGGTTACCCGTTAGGTTCTCCGCGACTCCGAATCGGCATCGGCCCTATTGGGCAAACTCGATAGATTTGAGGCTGCTTCACTAGTGTCGAGTATATTTCTGTCAGCATGATTTGACACCAAAGTCAAAGTAATTCAAAGTTCTTATTTTAACTAAACTATAGGACTATAGGTATACCCAGGTTATTATGAAACTTCCAAAAATATAGAACAGTCGAGCAGTATATCCGTCAGTGAAGCTAGGTGTTCCTTCCAAGGTGTAGATTCAAATGGAGGCAGAACGACGAAAACCTTTTTAGTTAATTTAATTGACATTTGAAGAGGATTAATGGAAAATAGTTAAGGAATTGAATCATCATAGTGTAATAAATATAAAACCGTTTTGGAGAAGAGGCACATAGTTCAGCATAAAAAAAATGACACAAATACAAATCGTAGAAATACATATACAAAATAATGTCTTGAGAATATCAAAAAATTTACCACTTAGCAAAAGAACCTACTTAAACTCCATTTAAATCAAAATTGTTCCTAAATGTGATAAATGTTTCACACAAAATCATAAGACAATTAATTATACGAAGAAACTTGTTAGATGAGTATTATCCGGAGACGTTTGAAGTACCTCAGATTGAGTTAAATTCCTAACGTTCTTATACCAGTGCCAAGTACAAGTACTTACCCTTTGGGCACTCAGTATATATACACAGACAGGGATTTCCACCTTTAAGAATGACGTTAAAAGTAATACATTTCGCCAGTCTAATCTTTTAATCCGACGTCAATTAACTGTACAAAAACTCTTTGATAAACTAATTAACTTATCATCAAACTAATAACATAGATATCTACAATTAATTATCTGAAAGATTTTGTATATATACTCCACTCTGAAAATTGTAAGTCATCTTGTTTCCTTAGTTGACAACATGAAGGTCTTGGCTCTAGCACTCTTTGCTCTGGTGGCGGTGGCCACCGCTAAAAACATCCACGTTGAGGATGTCATTGACCTAGAAGACAACACCGCCTACGGATACTTGTCCAAGATCGGTAAACCTCTTGCCGATGAAATCCGCAAAGCTGAGGAAGAAGCCAGCTCATCCAGAATTGTTGGTGGTTCCTTCTCCGAGCTCGGACAATTCCCCTACCAGGTAAAAATGAGTATTGATTTACCTCTATTAAGAAAACTAAACAATAATTGCCTGGTATTAATTAGTACATGAAGTGAGAACACATTCCAGTAGGTACTAATTTAATTAGAAAAATAAATGTATAATATGTAATATTTAATTTTGCGCAGGCTGGTCTTCTCGCCGACTTCTGGATTGGTCAGGGTGTGTGCGGTGGTTCTTTGATCAGCGCCAACCGTGTGCTTACTGCTGCTCACTGCTGGTTTGATGGTATTGACCAGGCCTTCAGATTCACCGTGGTCCTCGGCTCAATCCGTCTGTTCAGTGGTGGTGAAAGAATCGTCAGCAGCAATGTTGTTATGCACTGGGGCTGGAACCCTAGCTGGATCCGCAATGATATTGCCGTAATTAGACTGGGCTCTAACGTTGCCTTGTCAGGTACGTATAGTAACATTTTGTAGTCACCAACTTTTACCTCATTTTTGATAGTAGACGTAACTAGTACCCTAGTTACGTCAGGTCATACTCGTTGATCGTTCAAGGGTTTTTCATTAATATCGGTTCACCATCATTTACTGAGTCTTGATAATAAAAATATTTTTGACTTTCTTGTCGAATAGTTTATCTAATTATTTAAATATTTCTTCAGATGTCATCGCTCCCATCGCCATCCCAAGCGGTGACTTGGTCAATGAAAGCTTCGAAGGTAAAATCGCCGTCGCCTCTGGATTTGGTCGCACCAGCGACAGTAAGTTTTTTTTTGGTATTTTGAAATATTTTTCTATTAACAAATTTGGTAGCATATATTACTAACTAACACGTGTGCTCTTAGATGTCGGAGTCTCAGTCAACCAGGTCCTTAGCCACGTCGAGCTACCTGTAATCTCCAACGCACTCTGCAGAGCTTCCTTCCCCCTGACCATCCAGGACTCCAACATCTGTACCAGTGGTGAAGGTGGCAAGAGCACATGCCGTGGTGACTCCGGTGGTCCTCTTGTTGTCAATGTAGATGACAGCCCTGTCCTGGTACGTATTTTGAACATGGTTTATTTACTGATCGTTGAATGGCTTGCGAGTTTTAGCTGTTGACTGCCAAACAAGTATTTTTGAACTTAATTTTGAAAACAACCTGTTTTGTCAAAAAATCGTCAACTGTACTGTTGTAGCTGATTACAAACTTATAATTAGAAATAATAAGCCCAGGTTTCCTCACGATGTTTTCCTTCACCGTTTGTCAGTGGCGTCTAGATAAACTTAGAAAGTACATGTAACTCGAAAAAAGTGACATTGGTACTTGCCTTTGGTAGGTTTCGAATCCGCACCTTCATGCATGGGAAGTGGTGTCTTCAACCTCCGGGCCACCACGACATATTAATTAACATAACATATCATCATAAAACTGGGCTCCACACCCGTTACAAATTTAGTAGGAAGATTGTACTAATTTTCACTTCTTCAACAGATTGGTGTTACCTCCTTCGGATCTGCCCGTGGTTGCGAAGTCGGTGCCCCCGCCGCTTTCGCCCGAGTCAGCTCTTTCGTCTCCTGGATCAACAGCCAACTCTAAACAAGCTTATATTATGAGCATTTCTGTCTCTCTATCCATTAGTAACAATCTCATGAAAAAACGGTCAATAACTTTATCTGTGGCTAATGTATATAAATATTGAATTTTGGTAATAAATTATGTTCATTTTCAATTTTTTTTCCTTATTACTAACTAGTCATGAGTACCCGACTCACAATGCTGTATTAGTATTTATTGGTTCTAAGTACCAACATGTATCCGTATACGTAGGGATAAAATTTTGTCAAACCTAGTCTAACGTGTATTTGATGAATGTATGGGAGAAAACATATACTACAAAAAATATTTTTTGGTGTTTTAAATGATAGTATTTATTTACATTCGATTAACAAAATA